ATTTTTCAACATAATTTATTTCTGAAATAGAATAAGGAGGTGTCCTCTATATAGATGGCTCATCCTCTTCATTTTTGGATATTGTAATCACAAACGTTACTGTTCAAAATGTATATTGTAGATAATATGGAGGCTTTGTTTATCTGAAATCTAATAACTCTTAAACTCATCTTACCATATTAAATGGCTTGTTACATGATATATATGCATAATAAGGAAGTGTCATTTTTGTGTCTTATTCAAATTTAGTAGAAGAACCATAAACTGTAAACACTAAAGAATTAGTAATTATAAATTCTTAAAGAGGTTATATTAATTACTTGAATAGATTTAATGATCTATCTAATGTATAAGAAACAAGTAGTTTAATTAATAATAGATCATCAATATATGTAGAATTTGGATCTAAGATTTTGATACAGAATATTTCAGCTAATACTTTGATGTTCGAATCTTTTCTTAACTTTGAGTAATCAAATTTCATTTATATTTCTGATATCTTAGTTGAGAATTGTCAACTAAGTAATAATCTTATTAAAATGTCTGAAAATTAAAGTAATGTATTATTTAATTTATTTAGATGTAAATTTAATTCGTAGTTAATTTAGATCAATAATTGTTGGATTTGAAATTGAATCTGTAAATTGCTAAATCATACCTGAAATAAATGAAATTATAAATTTAGAATGTTTAGAAGGATTCGAAAATGCTCCTATATATTTAGAAAATGATGTAATCGATGAAAGTATAGATAGAGGACTATGTGTCTCTTAAATTATTAAATCAAAGTTAGACTTATCAAATTCAGGTCTAATAATGATTAATGATATAGAATATCAAGACTTTGCTAAAATAAGTTAATTTGATTTAAGTAACATATCATGTGCTAATTGTGCTAATGGATTACTATATATGTAATTTTTAAATGAAACTAAATTATAATAAACTTAAATAGTTTAATATCCTAAAGTAGTTAATTCAATCTGTGGTAATAAGGGATGTCTTATTTTTGAGAAATTGTTAACTATTTAGAATGGGAGAATACTTACTGAAAAGTAAGATTCTTAAGAAGGATATGAATTATAGATTTCTTATTACATTTGTGAAAATAATATAGGATTTACTGGAACTTGTATAATGCTGAATTCAATATTTACATCTATTTAAAATAGTGTATTATAACATAATAATGCAACATTTTAAGGCGGAGCAATAGTTGTAAAAGGTTCAGATTAAGTTATTATTGAAAATTCTCTTATTTAATACAATTAAGCAGAAGTTGGTGGAGGATTGTATCTAGAAAATACATTTGCTTTAAATTATGAATTATTAAAAACAAGAGTTATATTAAATACAGCTATTTTTTATGGAAATAATATAGCTTCAATTCCTGAAAAACTTGCCATATAAATCACATAAGACGAATTCTTATAAACTAAAGTTTTATTTGAGAATCCAAAAAAGAAAATAGAAGAAGTTATTATTAAACCTTTTAAATCAATAAATGGAAAAAATTCTAAATTTGTTTAATTACCTACTGGATAATAAATATCAACTTATTAATTTTTTGATTGGAAAACTTAAAATTATATTAATTATGATTTAATTTTTAGAATTCATAATCTAAATAGAAAAATGAATTTAATTTAAAATTTATCAAATTCTTTTTGTACTATAAATAGTAGACGATATAATATTTTAGAAAAAGATGAAGATTAAGAATTTACAAATAATTATACTAAATATAATACTATTTAATATAATTCTGAAACTTAAGATTTCAATTTAGATGATTTAATTGTGTATTTTGATAATGATGTACCTGAAGAGATTGTATTATAATTAGAATTTCAATGTGTTTCAATTAAAATACCAATATTTAATTCAATTTATCCATACTAAACTGAAAGATTTCATAATGATTATAAACTTAGAATCAATATAAAGACTTTAGAATGTTAATTTGGAGAAATTAAAAATTTAACTGATTTCTCTTGTGTAATTTGTGATTCTAATTAAGGTCTATTTTCTTTAACTTTAAATGCTTAAAAATGTGATATTTAAGATGATCTATCAACAATATCTGTAAGATCAAATTAATTATAATTAAGACCTGGTTATTGGAGACCCTATTTTGATACAACATTAATTAGTTAATGTTTAAATTTAGCAAGTAATTGTTTAGGAGGTTGGAGAAATGGTGATATTTCTTGTTACACTGGTCATATAGGAGCACTTTGCGAATAATGTGATATATACGATACAAGAGGTGAAGGATCATTCTCAGTTGTTAGTAGATATTCTTGTGGAACATGTTAAAATAAATACTAAAATATAGTTCTTATTATTGGCATTATTATTATTACTCTCATATTCTTAGTTATTTCTGTTAAAGGAACTTTAATTTCAATAGATGAATTTAGCAAATTTAAACCATTCTTTCGATCAACTCTTACTAAACTTACTCCTTAATCTAGTATTCTAATTAAAATTTTAACTAATTACTTTTAGATTGTTGCAACCATAACTACCTTTTAATTAGAATTACCATAAGGATTAGTTAGTACATTAGATGGAGTAGGAAATCCTATCTAAACAGCAACCTATTCACTTGATTGCTTTTTAGTTAACTTTTCTGATATTTAAATACAATATACTAGAATGATATGGCAGATTATATTACCAATCCTTTATATAAATCTATTTATGGGATTATTTTTCATTGCTTCTAAATTAAATTTAATAGAATCAATGTTAAATTGTAGTGTTATGTCAACAACTTTAATTTATTTCTACATTTACTTTTAACCTAATTTAATCAATGGTTTTGTATAATTAGTATCATATAGAAATATATCTGGCTTTTAATGGATTAAATCGAATGTTGCTGATAGATATGATACACCTGAACATTTTAAATGGATGATAGAATTTTGTTTACCAGTTCTCATTATTTTAACTATTCTTATTCCATTTTTCTTTTTCTATGGACTTTTCAGTAATAAAAATAGTCTTCATTCCAAAAAAGAAGTTAAAATGCGTTGGGCATATCTATATATTGAATATAAAGAAACTGTATATTTCTGGGAATTAATTAAAATAGTTGAAAAAGAATTAATAATCTTATCTCTGATTTATTATGAAGAACGTATAGTTATTAAAGGGGTTCTAGTGCTTCTAATCACTTATTTTTATTAGGAATTAAATCAAAATTATCAACCTTATTCAATGAATAAAATGAATAAGTTAGATTATTATTCAGCAAACATTTGTATGATTACTGTTTGTTTAGCTATTGGTGCCTACATAGCCTAAGAAGCTGATATTAAAGAATTATAAATACCATTTTTAGTTGTGATGGCCTTATTAAATTTTTTATTCCTTCAATCCATTTTATTTTAGATTATATCCAAATACACATAATAATATGAAGATACTCTAGATAAAATAAAAAATTTCATTAAATAAAAATATCCATAATATAGAAGTTCTAAATATTTAAATTAGATTTTGGAAAGTAGAACTGAATAAAGAAATAGAGTATAGAAGTAATTCAATAAACTTAAGAAATATGCCATTCCTTTAGGAAGACAAATGATATAAACAAGAGAAAAATATAGTAAAAGTAAATAATCTAATGCTATTGAATTTCATACTAGATAAGAAACTATAGACATAGAAAAGTCATCCTAAAAGAGATTGCTTATTATATAAAATTCCAAATGATAATCATAAAAAATATTTAATTTAATTTACAGTTATTCAAATTTATTTAATCTAATTCATTAAATATTTCTATAAATAAATTATATTGATTTATTTGAATAGATTTATAGATAAACACTTAGAAATTGCTTTGATTAATCAGAATTTTTTATAATAAATCCTTTTTCATTATTTTTCATTATAAATTATTTACATTAAATATGAATGATGACACATTAATAATCAGGATTACTACTTATTCTAGTATGTTTGCTGGAATCATAGGGAAAATAGCTTGTCATCCAATTGATACAATAAGAGCTAAGATATAAGTATTTTTTATTCTCATTTAAAGATTAGACAAACAATGATGCTTAAGATTAAAGCTGAGAAATTGATTTCAACATTGGCAAAAGAGACATTAAGAACTGAGGGGTTACGTGGACTTTATAAAGGGCTTGGAATAACAATAGTAAAAATGATAATTTCTATATAGATAGGAACAGGACCTGCATATTCTTTATATTTAACTACTTATGAAACATCAAAGTATTTGTTAAATTAATTGAATGTAAATTATGTCATATATATATATTAGTTTATGAAAGACAGTCCAAATTTAATCTCATTTGTATCTGGCATGATGGCTGAAACTATCAGTTGTATTTTCTGGTTACCAATAGATGTGATTAAAGAGAGATTATAAGTTCAAAGTAATATAAAGGTTTTTGATTATAAAAATACATTTGTATTATACTGTTTATATTCTAGGATGCCATCCAAAAGATTCTAAGATCAGAAGGAGTAGTTGGTTTGTATAGAGCTTATGGAGCAACTGTAGCCTCATATGGTCCATTTAGTGCATTCTATTTTATGTTTTATGAGAAATTAAAAAGTAATTTAAATTAGAATTAATAAAATAGCAATTTTAGAAAATCCATTGTAACCATCCTTTTTAGAAAGTCTTTGTTTATCAGGGATTGCAGGATCAATGGCAGGATTCATATGCAATCCAATGGATATAGTAAGATTGAGAATGCAAGTTTAAAGAGCATCAGTGGCAACTCATGCAGATGCAGGTAATTTTGGATATAAGAACTTAATTCATGGACTTTATAAAGTAGTAAAGAATGAAGGGATATTGTCTTTAACTAAAGGATCCATGGCTAAAGTATTATACACATGTCCAAATACTGCAATTTCAATGAGTGTAGCAGAAGTAACAAGATCTTACTTTATTAATAAATACAAGAGTCATTGATTATAATATAATAGCTAAAGGAATAAAATTTACATCAGATTTAATTAAAGAATTCGTGTTTTAGTAATTCTTTGGCTTCAGATCTTTAAGATGGATCATAGGCTAGACATTGTTTTAGTAAATCTAGGAGTTAATTTTATTTGGCTAATGATAGATAATTGCAATTCTATCTTATAACTTAATTCAATTGCAATTATTATTATTTTTATATGATTCTAATATATAACTATATCTATTTACTTGCTTAAATCTCTTCCTTTGACAGCAAATAATCCATATTTAATTTAGGGTCTTCCTTATCTCATAATTTTGCCTTTATAGGATAACCAATTAGGAACTCCATGTAATATATCAAGTATTATTGCCCCTTTATTTGTTTATAAAAATACCATAACTCCAAACGTCGATTTTTGGAGTCCCATGCATTTGAGTAAGGGCTTCAATTTAAGTGTTGTATTGATTAGAATATTTAGTCCAATTATGCATAATATCAAGGGCTTCAGGAGCCATGTATTCAGGTGTAATCATTCCAAATTAATCCTTATCTTCATTTGAAAATGCTGATCCAAAATCTATAATCTTTGGTATATTATTTTCAACTAAGATATTGTCTGGTTTTAGATCAAAATGTGTAACATGTTTATCATTTATACATGAGATTCCATTAAGAATTCCATACATAAGTTCAATGAGTTTTTATGGATGTTCATACATATCTAACAATTATTAAGTCTCACTTATCTATAATATATAATTATTTATACTGCATATACTCTTTCTCCTTTGTAGAATTCCCCTTTCATAGTGTAAAGCACTTTACTTAATGGTTTACCTCCCAACTCTTATATAATCCAAGTATCTTTATTTGAATGTTCCACTCCCATGATCTACACTATATTTTCTGATTTGATGTAACTGAATTTTGCCTCTTTACTTTATTGTGGTTTTGCTATTTATTTCAATGCTATCTTTTAATTGCCTTTCAATGCCAACCAGACTAATGCAAATCCTCCCCTGAAAAGAGTTAAATATATGATGTACCTTCCTAAGAGTTCAAGCTTGTCGAAACCCAATAATTACCTATCTCCATAAGTTCCTTTCTCTTCCTCAGTAAGTCCATAATCTTTAAGTATCTTAAGGGATGGCAATCTATTAGGTTTGAGTGTGAAGCTACTGTGCTTTTATAATTTCAAGGCTGTGTTTCCAGGAGATTAATTTGACTCTTTTTATACAAGGTCTATAATTATTCGTTAGTGTAACAGTGAATCCAATCCTACTATATTGTATATATAAAAATAGGATATAAAAGTGTGATATATAGAGATGAAGGTGTTATAAATATATACTGTTAGTTGAGACTGGAGTTCTCCTAGATTTCTATGACAGTTGTCTCTAATATTGAATGGGCATCATATTAATTAATTATATTTATACTCTTAACCAATTATTGGTAATATATAATTATTTATATAATATTTGAAATGTAAGAGTGGCCTAAGAAATTATTTCTTGCTATTGCATTCATCTCTTGTTTCACCTGTTATGCAAGACCAGACTATAATCTCCCATTATTTGCCTTTGCATATTTACTTTGGGATATAGATAGACCTGTAAGTCAATCATTAATGTGAATTTAGGTATCACAAAAGATTAGATTAATTTACTTATTTGTTTATTCATGGATTATTGATTTTGTTTGGCTTGTTTATTGGGGTCCATTTTGGAATTCATCAACTTTTAGTCATAATTGGGCTGATGGAATTTAAACATTTGTTTTAGTATTGTCCGTTATCAATTTCATCTTGAAAGTAGATATCGAAATTATATTGTATAGTTGGGTACAATTGTAGTGTGCATTTTGGCAGAAAAAGAATGCAAAGATGCATTACATCCTGAAAATGCAATGGCACATGCAAAGAACATATTTAATAGTGATGGTTAGCATTAGTGAATTACTTAAATTTTTAAAAAAAAAATTAATATCTATTTTAAATTAATGTCTTAATCAGTGCTTTGGGAAGTAGTTAAGGGCAATAATGCTTTTTTGGTCAAAAGAAATGGATTGACACTCTCAACTGATCCATTCAATAATACTGGAGTATAAACATACAGCAGTACAGGTATTAAAGCAATCTTAATATAAAAAGGATTCATTACATAAAATGCTATTGGTGTAGTACCAACATAATCAAAGGTTAATTAAATTAATAATGTGAATTTGGTTGCAAGAAAGAGCACAAAATTCTAATAAGTTGATAGAAAGACTAAAAATACTTAATCAGTTTATGCTTCAACTTTAAGTGTTAAACATGGAATTCATACAGCCTCAAGAGTATATCATATCTTTATGAATCGTAGGTAATTAGAAAGAGATTTGGTACAAGAAGACTTGGATTGTAGAAGGCAGCTCTTAGAAAATTAGTGAAATTGAACAGAGCCAATGCTGTCAGAAGAAGAAATGAAATTGCTGCAACTAAAGCATAAAAGAAATGATTTGCATTATCAAATGACGTACAATATATATATATAAATAAATAAATATTATTTTATAGATGGTAAACTATTCATATATATTATGATAATAATTTTATTAATATTCACATCATAATACATTGATATCTTATTATTTTATGATTTTTTTAATTTAAATTAATATGAAATAAGAACTAGTTGCACCTAAACCATATTTTAGTATTTTAAAATAGCAATAACCATCTACTCCAGATGATGTATTATCATATAATAGCAGTAAATCAATGAAGTTATTGAATAATGCTACTCTTAAAATTCGTTATGATAGATTTGGAAATGTCATAGATAAAAAAAGCAAAGATCATTAAATTTCTTTTAGAGATAAAGTTACAAAATAATAAAGAGTTTATGATTTGTTTTTGTTTGATAAATTCAAATATGAATAATTATAAATAGAGAATAGTAAATAATAAAAAAAGAGTAGATGTTGTTTAATTTAATGAATTTAATTATTTAATATTTTTTTATGTAAATGTGTACTATACTTTAGAATTATCATTATTTTTTGGTTTCTTCTTGGTGTTCTCTAGCTTATTTCTTTTCAAGAGCTGTCAAATATAAACCATTATCATCTGGAAGTGAAATTAATGATTTCTTTCCTTTTCCAATTGTAAAGATATTATTGATTCTTGTAGAGAAGTGTTTACCATTTGAATCCTAATTAATCTTTATTAATTTATACTTTAACATGGACAATATCAAATGATCCAAGATGTCTTTCTCTATGTTAAATGAGACCAACTCTTCCAATGTTATTACCTCCAATAATATAACATAAATTTCCTTAATAAATATTATATTTATATATTACCTGGTTCTTCTTTAAGGAAATCAACAACCTTTCCAGTTTCCAAATCAATTTTTAATGTGTCATTAACATGAATTTCAGGATTTGGGTATCTGATTGTTCTAGCATCATTGGTAACAATATAAGGAACATTGTTTGGTCCAACCTTCTTTTATGTTACTTTCACTAACTTGAATTTAGCCTCATCTGGTTTGATTGATTTTAATATGAATTTTCCTGAGACATCATATAATACTCTATAACTTTCTCTTGTCTTATCAATTGTAATGACATCTGATCCATTAATTATATAAATTTACCCAATAAACCAACTGGATATCCAAAGTCAGATCTCACTTTTCCGTCAACTTTAATATTACCATCCTTATCAGCAAGAATCATTTAGACATCTCTTGCATACAAAGCATATTTGAGTTTATGTTGCAATATTATAGACAAAGGAATTGATTCTCTCAATTTATGGGGTCCTTATGATGGTCTTGTTGTCCAATTTCCTCCTAATTTTGAGAGCATCCAACTCTTTGGTGCTGTAATTCTTTTCATATGTTTCTTGGGTCCTCTTGCCTATAGATAATAGTAATCATTATTGTTACCATGATTGTTTAAAGAAAAAATTAAAATCTTTTTAATTTAATTCAAAATGTTAATACTCATAATATCAGAAATATTTTATTATTAAGTATTTATATAATATATTAGCTTTTTGTTTTTAATCTTTTATATGAGATGACAAATCAAAACTAGAATTTAATATGTAGCAGAATATCAAATTGAAAAATATGTTAGAATTAATAAAGTTTGTTTAATATTATAATTATATAATATAGATGAAGTAATTTTTATAAGTATTCTTATATAATATTAATAACAAAGTCTAAATTTATCAATTGTATGATTGATAATTAAATAAAAATAAAATAAGTTATTTTTTATCTAATATTTATAATATAAGTGCAATTTTAATAATTAATTCCTATATGATATGTTAAACAACCTTCTCTCATAACATTTTTTAAAGCAAAGATAAAGAAAGATTTTGTTGAGAAATAAATAAAGCTTTATAAACAAATATATCACTAATACTTTTTTACTAATATGATTATCAAAAATTAGTTAAACAAGGTAAAGAGAAAGATTATTTATTAATGTTATTTTGTTTCCAAGAACTAATTTATATATTGTTATTAATATAGGATAATTTGATAAAATTGAATTACCAAGTATTGAACCTATTTATAAAGTATATAAATCACTTTATAATGAATATCTTACATCCTAATTATGTATATATATAAATTAAATAAAGATGAATCTGTGAAAATGCAATAGATTTTAGATAAAAAATAACAAGAAATAAATGTATCCTTTATGATGAAGATAATATTATTATAATTGATGCAGAAGATGAAACCCATATCAACTATGCAAGACATTGGGTAATGGTGGCAATGGATAAATTAGCTGAACATAATAAAAATGAAAATCATTAGAAATACTTTCATGATTGTAATTACTATGCAAAAAATTTGATTTTAGTAAAATAATTTGAACCCTGTATAAAGTGTTCAATGGCTTTAATTCATTCAAGAATTAAGGGTGTTTATTTTTATCAAAAGAGAGTGATAGAAGGATGACTTAATGATGAATTATAACTTAATAATATGTAACAACTAAATCATAAATAATTAGTGTTGTATTAGAATTGATTAATTTTATTTATAATTCAATCACTATTATTTGTAAGTTCAGTTATTATGTTGCCTAATTGAGTGACCTATTATGAAATGGAACTAAATGTATATCTAATTAAACGTACTCATAAAATTATTAAGCATATTCTAAATTGTAAAATACTTCCTGAATCATTTTGAGTGAATTCTCAAATTCTTGTTCTCCTTAATTTGCAATAATAAGAAATGGTTACTTATCCTCCAATTAAGATGCAATCTATTCTAAATCTTTTAGATTTATTGAATTAAACTATATTTAATATAAATTATTACTATAGCATCATATTCTGTAATCTTTATTTGGATCATCTTTAATGCTTATAATAAAATATTTGAGTCTATTGTTTAATGATTACTTTAATCTAATCCTAAATCATCAATATATTTTTCTAAATTTGCCAATTAAATTTTTATTAAATCCATCTTATTAAATATTGACTCAACAGTAATAGATAACTTTTTCAAAGTATTTAAATTCTTTCTGTAAAAGTTTTGTGACTCTTACAAAGAATTCTACATTTTACAAGCAATCAATTGATTATTATTCTATTCAATAAATAATAGTTATTCCTTAATGCCATTAATTTAATCCTCTGTAGTTCTATTTATTAAACTTGCCTCTAATAGTTTCTTTTATATATCTATATATATATTATAAATAAAATCTATTACCTTCAACAATTCTTCTAAAATTATCTATCTATTAAGATAAAAGTTAATATCCCTGATTAGGAGCTACTTTTTACATAGATTGTAAATCTAATTAATTTTTGATATTTATCAATTTCTTTCCTTGATCCTATTACAATTAATGTATCTTTTGAATTTATGATTGACATCCTTTCCATCCTCCTTTTGTTTTAATAAAATCAACTTTTTCCTAAATTGATGGAGTTAATTTTAAAGTTTCAGCATTTTAATATGAATCAATCATAAATTGTATATTATATTAGGAATAAATAGAATTAAAATTATTTTGTAAATCTAATAATTTTTATTAAGCATAAGTTTTATTAGCATTTATTTGTAAAATTAAATTTTTTGTTTCTACTTAATATTCTTATTATTTATTTTCTTATCTATTTTAAAATAATTCTGGAGGTCTTGCCTTAATAAGATCTTATTTAACTGGTAATTATAATAATTCATATTCTTTAGCTATATGATGTTTAAAAGCATTTTCATTAAGATATAAATACTCTTTCTTAAGTATTAATATCTATTATTATTATAAAAGTAGAAACTCATTTTTTTATTTAAACTTTTTAAAAAGATCAGATATGGATTATTCAGCCTTACTCAAATAGGTTATTGCTTTTCCCATTCTTTATTCTTTTGGAACTTCTTTCGCTGTATTAGCCATCATTTTAGCTAACTCCATATTAGTAACAACCACAGTAATAGTATGATCATTAGAAAACTTCTCCATCAATTAATTATATATAATAGGTGGAATTGGTTTCTTACTTCCTTATTTTGTTTATGTCAAACATCTAATAGTTTACTCATACATCTTAGATGATTCTTATAATAAACCCAAGGCAATAAGATGATCATCAGGATTTTTATTTGTTTAAAAATGATCATATAATTTCTTATATCCAAATGCTTCAGCCTATTGATGAAAGATATATAATTACATAACAATTATGCATATGAATATGCACAAATGATAGATCAGAATGTTAATGTATAGTTCTTGAATTAACAAAAGCTATGATTTCAGAAAGTCTTTAAAAACACCACTAGGAATTACGACTCTTGTTAATTGCATCCTTTACAGTTGCCATATTTTATCCCAAATGATAATAAAGTAATCCAAGATTGTATAGAGAACAAGAGTATTCATAATGCCATTAATTGGATTGAGTAAATTTATTCTAAATTATTCTATCTGTTTTACAGGTTCATATGAATCATTCCATGAGAATGATATATCAATCTTAACTTGTTATTCAATAGCTTAGTCTAATAGTAGAATATATTCAGTCAATAATTTCTCAAGTTAAAGACATGCTTCCACATCTCCTTTATAACAATCTTACCAACGAAAATCAGATATCTTCTTTCTATATTCTTCAATTTTTATGAGCAATTAATTCTTATTAGATAGTAATATATCTTATACCTCACTTTTTGGAAATTTAATTGGCTTTGTTTATTTGAATCTGAAACCAAAGTTCATATTAATATTTTTATATATTTTGCGAGAGTTGTTATTACAAATATATTAATTTACTCATAATCTTTATTTCCCTTAGGCTTACTTCAACAAATGCAATAAGGTTTCTTATCTACGACTTTTTCGTTTCTTTGTCTATCTCTAGAATACCATTATCTTTTCTTAATACTACAATCTCAATCATAATCATACTTTTGCTAATACCAATGAAATGTTGTTATGAGAATTATAATTGCTGAATTCACAAACTCTATCAAATTACTAAAAGATATCTATGTATTATCCCATAATCTTATCTTCATCATCATCCTCATCTTCAGAACTATCATCTAACTTTAATTTTACTGATTTTCTTCTCATTATTTAATTTATTTATAATGAGGGTACTTACAATACCTATTAATAACCTTGCTCATTCATTACACATAAGGATTCATTCCCTCCTTTCTTCATACTCTTCTCATATACAGGCACTTCTTCATCAGGAGATTCTGTCTAAGACCCATAATTTATAGATATTTTCCTATGGTTTTTAGTACCATTTGTATTTAAATATTAATTATTCTAACAAAATCTAAATGTTCTAGGAGAGGAATCATCCAAAGATACTTAAATTCTTTATGATAAAGATGATTTTCCATGTGTTTAACCCTATATATTTGTTTGGATTTAATTAAAAGTAGATTGATTTCCAAAATGAATACCATGTTACTATTACAATTCCTTCATTTCTTCTATTTAAACAAGATCTTCATTTTTCATCATGTAATTTAGAACACTCTCTAAAACAATGAAATGATGTTTTAATGCATACATTTTTCTTGTATTATTATGTCTAAGATATCGAGATGTTCTATCAACAGGAGTAAACCTCCTATAATTATATAAGGTTTTTATTCTATTAGGTATTCCAAATAAAAATGGACAAGTGTTTGTAAAATGACAATCACTTTGACATGTATTACATTTTATTTAAATTGCTTTTAAATTTTAATTTTATATTATATCATCTGTTATTTATTAGAATATCTCCTAGAAATTAAATATATATTAAATATTTACATAATCTAAAGGGTGATCCTTAAAGACAAAATTCAATTATTCTCTTGATATTTAAAGAACTTTAGTTGTCTTTGAAGCTAAAGCATCATAAGAATAAGCTCTTTTTGAAAAGAAATCCAATTATCCAATAAAAGATGGGTTAGATATCTTTTATAACAATCTCTATTAATCATTGAGATTTACTACTAGTTTTATCTCTCCTGTTACAAGAATAAATAATTAAGATGATTTATTATTCCTTTTGAAGAGATAATCATCAGATTATATTTATTTCTCTTCTAAATACATACATAATTTATTCAATAAAGGTTAACTGAAATTCTTAAAAAAAGAAAGTTAATTTAATATTTTAGCATTAACATCTACAATCATTTGATCTTTTAAACTTTTAGGAATTAAATCTGAAAATTATATTACTTTTTATGAAGGTTTACTCCACAAATATTCAAAATATCTTCTAAATTTAATTTAAAGATCATCAGATACATTTTAACTTTTTAAATATCTATTTAATTAATTCATATTATTTTTTAAATGAACTGATTATTTTGAGAAATCTTAGAATATACCACCAATATTATTTACAGTATATGCAAATGTTGCAGATGAAATCATAGTCATAAAGATTACAAAAATTCTTTCAGTTAAATTCACAGGAGTTATATCTCCATATCCAATTGTTGTCATTGTAACTATACTCCAATAAAATGATACTACATATCTATCTAACCAAGATTCATTCTATAAATTGGCCACTTTCAACCATGTCTTACCTTCATGATGACCCCATTCTCCCCATTATCCAATAATATGCCAAATACATGCTGAAAAATGGGCTACTAAAATCATAAAAGATCTAGTGCATATTTATATGCATACATCATTTTAAATAAATCAAATAATGCCGTTTGTCTATTTGATAATTCTAAACGATTAAATAGTGATGAAAATAAACTAGATAATTAGAATACTTTCAAAATTATCACAAAATCAAAATATCTAAAATCAAATTGTTAACCTATAAAGAATGGAACAACTAAAAACAAATCAATAAAAAATCCTATCTAATATTAATAATCATAAACCTTCAATGCAATAAAATTTAATTATTTTTGCTCTATTTGTAATCAATATTCCCTTATTGTAAATACAAGTATTGAATTTTAATACAATCTCCAAAAGAAATGAATATACAGGCAATTATTCAAAAAAGAATTCTTTACTTTATAAAGGAAAGTCCAATATTTCTGGAAAAGAAATACGCAAAGAAACATAAAATACATTTATTGTAACAATCACTATCAAATAGATATTCCATATGATAATGATTACATCATCTGGTTTCAATAACCACTTTCTAACATTGTTTTTGTAAAATTGGTTATGATGTTCTGTAATTATTATAGATATTTACATAGTATGCAAGAAAACCAATTATTTAATTTAAGTAGAATATATGAAGGTTTATCTTTTGGTAGGAATCCTTTATATTTGTAAAAATTATAGTCTGATGCATTATCATTTATTAAATTGAATTCTTGTTTTGTAAAACGACTCAAATCCTTTCTTGTAATCTATCTAGTAATTAAAACAATGAATCTAGAAACTATAAGTATTATTTTAAATGCTCTATATTTCCATATAGGATTCTCAATTCCAAAACTATGATGTTGAGTCCTTCTTCCCCACAATAATACTTTAGAGCTTTTATTCATGTTTGTTTCTAGAGGATCAGGACAATCTTCATTGTTGCTAATTTAACTAATAATCATGAAATTATAATAATTATTTTAACAATGGATAAACTTGATAAAATTATTGCACAATTAGATGAATTGGAAATTAGTCAAAAACATAGAGAAGAATTACTAAAACGAAATTAAGCTACATTTCTTCTTAAATTGCCAAAAGTACTCAATTAGATTTTTTATTCAGGTTATTTTAATTTAGAGAGTGTGTGGATTTTTAGATGATAATGATCTATATAGATTTACAGCAACATGTTCTACTTTAAGGAAGGTGATGTTTTGTCCATTAGGATTCAAATTATTAATGTTGAGTAGAAATGCTAATCATTTGGTTGGTGGACCCAAACATTCACAAATATAACTAAAACATGAAAAGATCGATATTATATCATGTGGAAATTTATCAACCAATAATAATATGTTTGAGACAGAGGAAGACGCATTAGCTTAATTGGAGGTCTTAAAAGCTGTTAAGGATTTCTTAACAAGTAAATTGTAGGATTCATAGGCAACAATTTAGAAATTATAAGATATGTTAGATGATGCATAAGCAACACTCAAATATGAAAAATCTGTTAATTTAAAACTATAATCTAAGATTAATATCTTGTAAAATCAACTATCGATTTCTGAACTTTAGAGATAAGATGTTAAAGAAAATTTGGCAGAATTGAATTCTAAATATAATAAAATAGTAAGAATTTATTGAAATTCTCTTTAGATAACTTAAATGGAATAGGATAAAATCATTTTATTAGAAGATAAGGAGAAACTTCTTAAACATAAGAAAGTCTTAATTGAAGAAGTCTATAGATTAAGGGGTGTGGTTGCTAAAATGGAAGAAAATTAAAATAATTATAAAGAAGCTTTGAGATAAGTGAAAACTTTTATGGAAAGTGTAGAAGTTAAACCTATTTGAATTTGTTATTGATTTGAATTATTAATTAATTTTTATGATGTACTATTTTCACAATTTATAAACTCATATTAAAATTGGATATTTTAGAGTATATATTTTTAATTTAAAAATCTTATCAAATATTCCAATTTTAATTATTTATGGATTATTAATTACCATCCTTAGCTGATCCATTCACTTGGGTTTCATACACTATTTTAGGCATCTTAGTAGGTTTATCATAAGCTGGTGGTATTGGTGGTGGACCAATCATATCACCAGTCATGATGGTTTTGTTAGGATGTCCAAGTAAAAAAGCAATTTGGAATACTTACATAATGCTTTTAGGAGGAAGTCTTGGTAATTTCCTTAGATTGGGCAAAGAAAGAGTAATAAATTTATATTTATATTGCTATAGACTGCTAATGGAAGTGCCCCATTGATTAATTATTAATTAGTTCAAATAACATTACCATTGTTATTGGCAGGTGCAATTCTGGGAGTAGCAACAGGTAAATGGATGCCAAAATTAATCATTGTAATCTTTCTGTTTGGTATATTATTGACTGTCTTTCTAAAAACAAAGAGTTTATACTTCAAAACTCGTAGTAAAGAAATGAATGACTAATTAATCCCAGTTGAACTAAAAGAATTAACAGTATAAAAAGAGAGTAATCACTCAAAAGAATTGAATATTATAAGAGAAAAAGATTCAAGACTCTATCCAATTGAACCACTTACAGAAATCAGTTTGACTATTTTAATCATAATTGTTGTGACACTATTAAAAGGATCAGGAGCAGTACCATCTATTCTAGGCATTGATTTTTGTGGCTATGGTTATCATTTCTTTAATTTTGCCATCTTTGGAATAGCCTTTTATAATGTTTAAAGATATAGAAAATATATATCAAAAGATGAAGAATATAAAGAATCTATTGGTTATGATTTTGCAGATGGTAAAATGAGTTCTGTATTTGATATTACAGTGAAATCAAGTCTATATGCTGGTTTTTTGGGTGGACTGGTTGGTTTAGGAGGAGGTGTAGTATTGACTCCACTTTGGTTAGAAACTGGAATTAACCCACCTAGAGCTGCTGCTTCTGCTACTTTTACAGTATTATTCACTTCATCCATATCAGTATTCATTATAGCTCTATCAGGTGGCTATTAATTTTCTGAATTTGTCATTTTGGGAGTAAGAATAGAAATATATTATTTTAGTTGGTTTCTAGTTTTGGCAGTTATTTAGTTGCTGGATTTCTTAAGAAATTAGTGAAAAAATATAAAAGAGAATCTATATTAATCTAAGTGCTTTTAGGAGTAATAGCATTTGGATTGATTATACTTCCTTTTCAATCTATAAAAGATGTTTATTAAAATCCACTTGGTGCTATTCAATTTGGTCGTTTATGTTGATACTTTTGACAATTTTTATATTTAATTAATATATTATGTATCATTATTTAAATAAAGATAACTTAAAATCATCATAACAAAGTGGTTGAGTAAGATTATATTTTAAATGGTACATAGGCTTATTAATATAATTTAAATTAAATTTCTATTATGATAAATAATATATATTACTATTTTAGGAAATTTCTAAATGCTTAATGATTAAACTATATTCATAAGCTAAGACTTTTTTAATAGAAATTAAATCATATTCAACAAAATATCCTTAAAATTCGAATTCAATGAATTATTCCGATTTAACCTTAAAAGAAATGAATAACTCATTTGATTATAGAGCTTCCATTATTGTAATTAGAAAAAAACTAAATATAGATGGACAAGTTCTAATTTTGATTTATAACTCATTAAGAATTGTAATTTTTTTCCATTTATACAATTAATTTAAATGTTAAAAAATGTTTGCTAGATTAACAGTTTTAGATTTGATTTATGAATTATTTAAATCTTAAATGAGTTTAATAATGATTAATTTTTTTTATACTTTCCCAAGATAATCTTCTGTGATATTCTTTTTTTAAATTACTTGACATATCTTGATAATTATATTTAATAATTATTCATATCTTGATTGCATAAGTTCATTATTTTTTTAAGAAATATTTGATATTTCAGGAAACACAAGAAGGATTGTTGGTTTATTACTGAAATAAACAGAATATTCAATTTTAATTATTAATTTTTAATGTGAAATTGTGATTGTTTTGTTGAACAGATCTACACAATTTTGTTTAAAATTCTTAATTTCATTATATATTAACTATTCAATAGTTTTATCATTATGTTTTGCTTCTCTTAAAAATTTTAATGCATCTTCATTAGTAATAAATAATCGTTGGCAATTCAATATTTTAATAATTTAGAATTTAAATTATTCTTCATCGAAAGATATCAAAATATATGGGATTTACTTAGTAATTTAAGTTAATATATTTTCCCATGATTAATCAACCAAAGTTAATAGATATTATGATCTTATTGCTTTATGATATTAATATAAATATCTAGATGCATAAAGTATGAGTATAAAGGCTGAAAATATAGCTGAATACTCAATGCTAGTACTCTTATTAAATATAATGATAATTCTGATAATTGATATTGAAATAAGAGAAAACATTGCATCAATATATTCACCAGCTAAAATGATTAAAAAATTTGATCCCATTTAATTTACACCTCTAAGATGAGCTGATAAGGAATCAGAAGATTCTTCAACAAACAAAAAATATATAGTAAAGACATGATTCAGCAAAATTAATGATGGTCTCAAAAATTGTTTGTATTTCTTACTTAAAAGATACTGCACAAAAAAATAGGTGATCATAGCTATATATGTATAAACATTAAAGTAATTTTATTAAAGTAGACCTTACCCTATTCTAACTATAAACACAACTGCAAAACCTAAAGTTATTAATGTAAACATTGTCATTCTAATTTCACCAATACTTGTTGATTAATATTTTGCTTCAATCTATGGGTTTTTGAATGTGAGTAAATATTTGTTCATAAGATGACTATTTAATTTATTAAATATAAATGGAATTAAATTATTTTTGATTTTCTTATTATTATTTTATTATAAATAACTATTAAAATGAAAAATTAAAAAATAGAAATTCCTTTTTTAATTAAATAACAATCATTCTAAATTTCAATTAAATTATGTTTTATAAGTGTTTTTATTGGCCTTTTTCCTCCATTGATTGTAAACTTTAATAACTGAATCATAATTATAAGTAGGATAATACATCCTATAGAATTTCATCTTATCAAAGTCATTAATAATACAAAAATCTTAATGTAATACTTTTTATTAAGTAAAATTTTAAAACATTCTAACTATAGAAGCACCTTTAATCTTAGATCTCACACTTTTGAATTCTACTCTATTACTTTATTTTGGAGTTGCTTATTTATCAAAGAAAACAGTTATAGAATCTTTATTTTCATCTAAATAATGTCTTGATTACTCTAATTCATCATAAGACTCTTGCTTATTATGTATATCTTACATCACTCTCTTCATCTATAGACTTTTCATCTTCTTCATCACTTTCCATTTCCCTCTCTTACATTCTAATTGTTTTTATTGTTCTTTAATAACATAAATTTGCACTTCTTCTTTTAAATTCTAATTCATTAAATACTCTAGATTTTTCTTTTCGTTTTCTTTTATATTTATCCTATCTTTCTTATTCAATTGAATATTGATGTTTTGCTAATATTAATTCTTTATTTAAATTAAAATAGATATCTTCACATATTTCATGTCCTTATTTTCTACAAAGTAAGCATTTCAAAAATAAGTTATCATAATTTTATATCATTATTCTATCTCTAATCTAATAGAATTAATCTAAATCAGTATCCTTTAATTTCTTAAAGAAATCACCTTAAGATATATAATAAACAGTTGAAAATCCTTCACTTATAAAAAATAGTTTCTTATTTTATTATTCATTAAACAATGATTTCAATCCTATACCATCTCCTGGTTTCAAATTCCCCACAATAGTTTTGTTTTCTCCAAATATTACATTTATATTTCCCTTTAATAAAATATATAATCCTTAATCATTCACTAATTTCTCTTCTGGAGTTAAATTAATTTCTTAAACACTTTCAATTAATTCTCTAAGTAATTTCAATGAAAAATTATTTACAAGTACTGGTTACTTTAATAATAATAATCCTTTATCTTATTCATTTAATTCTTACTTTAATTATGGACTCAATTTACAAAATATCTTCTTCTCTTAAGTAGATGGTTGATGTTTATATACTAATCGAAGATAACTAAATTAAAAAATATAGATTATTTTACTTTTCAACTCTCTTTTATAAATCTGAATCAATATTTCTTTTCTTCATATAATGACTCAATATTTCTAAATCATGTTTCACTTTACTTTTATCTGCATCCAAATCTTTCAGAATAGAAGTTATTGTATTAAACACATATGCAAATATACATGATGAAAATAGAGTCAAACAAATACTAACCAATACTTCATATGGATTTATTGGTGTAATATCACCATAACCTACTGTAGTCATTGTTGTAATAGCAAAATATAAACCAGTTAAATAGATTTCAATCCAATGTGAATCTTCCAAACCTCTTTAAACTATCCAATTCCTATCCATTGAATGTTGTCCTATACCTATCCAAACACAAGCAAAACAATGAGCAAGTAATACTACTGTGATTAATAATTTCAATAATTTAAGATGATTTTTAAATTTACCTCTTGGATCAATTTCATACTTAAATACTTCCATAAATGTTGATAATTCCTTTAATTTTAATATGAATAAGTATTTTAGAGGAGTAAATGTTGAAAGCAAGAAAACTATTAATCCCAACAATCCTCCAAAATCAATTAAGAATTCCTTTCGAAAATATTATATTATTATTTTTCTTGTTTATGTTATCAAAATCCCCTTATTATATATCTATACATTCAATCTCATTATTATATCAATTGTCAAAATCACTATCTCAACAAAAAATATGGGCATCTAAATATCAATGAATTCATCCAATTGATTTACAAATGAATCTGATAATGGAAATATGAAACATAAATGTAATACCAAAAGAAATTTTAAAAAACTCCAAAATATTAACATAGGATGACTTGCTTTTATGCTAGTAAAACTTCGATGCTTAACCATAGTCATCAAACTGGATACTAAGACTTATAAACTTACATTCTGTTGTTTGTATTAATAATATTATTTTTCAAATTATGAAGAGTCTTTCTCCTTCTTCGATTGTTAAATATAACTACTTGAAACATCATTGAAAGCTTGCAATTATTATTTACTTAATAGAGAGAGATTCTTAATTTTTGTATATTTTCTTAATTTTTATATTGCTTAAATCAAAAGTTCCTTCAACCTTGTTTATATATTAATCTGTCTTAATTTTATTTGACCTAGAGCATCTTAAAATAAAAGTCGTTGTTCTCCATTAGGAGAATGTACCTAAACATGACTAGCCTGAAGATCATTGAGGTATAGTTAATTCATCAATTATTAAATTCAATTTATAATATAATAGAATGATTCAAATTATTTGAGAGAAAATAAAATGACTTTCAATAAATTATAAACTGCATTTTAATTTTAATTCAAATACAAAGTCAAAAGCCATAATTGTATTTTTTGACTTTTTTAAAAAGTATTGTTGTGATTACTAATATCATTTTATTAAAAAGATTGATTATTGAAAAAGAGATGAATCAATTTTATATTCAATCAATAAAAATAAATTTAATATATTTTATAAAAATGTTTAAATAGGAAGAAAACATTCTTTAATATATCAGAAATTTTGGAATTCAATAAACAATTGAAGAATAGCTTAAATAAATATATAAGACATTATTTATATATATAATAATCTAAAAAATCAATAAAAAACCATATAAAAATCATAAATATACTTATAATAATAATTTTAATATAAATTATATAGAAATAAAATTGAACTAAATAAGCTGAATTTAAAAGTAAATAATTTATGATGATCCTAAATTTTTACTATATTAGAAATAATGTTGATATATTAAATTAGAAAAATAAATAATAATATATTAAGGATAAATTATTATTTCTATTATCTTTAATAATAATAATAAATAATATCAATAAGAATAGGTTGCTTCATTAATATAATTGTTATTTTATTTTGATTATAATAAAATGTTGATAAAATTAAAATTAAAACAATCACGAAATCACTGATAAATTCAATTTGTTTCTTTTAGCTTATTGAACAGAAAATGTATTTGATAATAAGGGTCTAAGTAGTAATTTAACTCCATTACTTTTAGGGGATGTATTAATTTTTTTCTTACTTGCACTTTACCTTGTAGTAGATGGTTAATCTTCAACTCCTGTTAGTTATTATTAATTTCTTTTTTAATAGCTATTTCTAAGAGATTTAGTATCAAATATTAATTTTTGAATTGCATTCTTTTTAAAATTCATAGATTCATTATCTGTATCAATTCCAAATAATTCCATAAATTCTGCAAATATCTTCATCTAAGATTTGAATGTCTTATTCATAACATTAAATTAATCTTCAAGAGATAAAAAATCTTTTATATTTGATTTAAGTTTTAATGCATCTTAAACATCAACTTTATTAGCCTTAGATTTTAAGTAATCTTTAACACGATCTATTTATTAAGCAACATCTTCAAGTTTATAAAATTCCATTTATTTATTAACATTTAACTTAATAGTGTCTTCAATACTACATATAATTTATTCTGATAATTGTTTAGCCATTAATAACCTTTATTCATCATAATATTGATAACATTTAGTGATTTATTTTTAGGTATCTTAAATTTAAATTAACATTTTTTAAGTTAAATTTTTATGATCTTCTTATTCTTTTTTTAAAATTATCAAATCCATTTTTGTCGCCTTTTATAATAATTCATAATCTGTTGCTTTAATTATTTTACGAAATCCTTGTACTTCTTGGAAATCTTTGACTACAATATCAGATAATTCTTTAATTTTTGGTAACAATTATTCTGACAAGGACGAAAGTTATGATTGAGTAGCAAATAATTTGGATGAATCTACAAATTCTTAAAATTCATGTAATTTAACTGTTGTAGTTAAGTCTGAGAGAATGAACTAAAAGGAAATTTATCAATTACATAATACATCTTATTTTTTGATTATTTCATTAATATTAGTATTGGTGTATCGTTTAAGGTCTATGAGTTGTTCACTTGTATGATGAAATCTACATTCCAAGAGATCTAACTATTATATGGTCATATCTTTAGGTGCAAATTTGGCTTAGAGATGTGTCATATGATCACTTATCTATTCTTCAAAAAGCAGATGAAAATCTTAAGTATTAATATATGTATTCAGAGATTCTTAAATAGTAATTAATTAATTGTTGAATTGTGTTTATATCTTGTTGAAATCTCCTTCATATTATCTTTAAAGTTTGCGTATTTCCATTTACATATCACACAAATCTTCTTGGCTTGGTTTTTCATTGATTTATTGAGTAAGCTGTTAGAGAGTATGATCTTGAGTATTGAATTTATACATTATAGCATCAGTCTATTGTCTAGATTAATCTCGTAAAAGATCAATTTTTAAGCTAATTGAATTATTTAATTCTGTAGAGATCTAGTTTATCAATTTATTTTTTGGTTTAAATGATAATTTCTTTGGAACAAAGTTTTATTTGCATCTCAATTAATATAGTTTATCTGTATCGAATTCAAAGATATCACTTAAACCTATGATATAATCTAAGAGTATTGATAATATTTCTTCATCCATGTGAGAGATATAAAGAAATTAATAATTTCTCGTTTATTTTGCATATATTTTGATAATTAAGAAAATAAAAGGGGGAAAAGTAAATATATATTTAGAAAATAAGTAATAAGAATAATAAGAAAATACTCAGTAAAATGCTTAATAAATATTTGATTAATATACATTACTTACTTTCATAATATATTGACTAGATTATGGAAAATAACCCAAATCATTAAGAATAATAATAAATCTGTTCCAATTCCTGAATAGTATGCATCATAACTGGATCTAAAGTATTCTTTAACTTTAAAATTCATTTTGATTGCTAAACAAGCACTAACCATCAAGAATATTACAACATAAATTGCAATTCCAATCCATCCATCTAATATTATTCATCAATTTCTACCCATTCCCAATATACCTGCAATAATACCAGCATTCAATGATCCATATACTCTAAGATTTTTAAGTTGATTTGTATTTTATTTTAATCTTTCTTAATTAACTTCTAGATCATCTAATTCAATTTTTGGTTCCTCCATTAATTAATTTAATTAAATTATATTAATTACTTTTCATCTTATATATATATATATTTAATCATAATCTTTAATATGAATTTATGATTAATGTATAAAATAGATTATTGTAATCAACATTTAAGTAAATATATATATATACATTATTTCAATAAAGAAGTTTAGATATATAATAAATATTGAATAATAATAATGAAGATTTAACAATTATTGATTTATTGAATATAATAATGATGTGTACATTATTATTATGTCAAAATCTCACACAATTTGTAAATAAGTATTTGACTATTTTGGAAAAAACTAAATTTTGAATATCCAAATCTTTGGCATCTTGATTATCAGCTTTAAGTAATGATACCATTTTAGCAATCTCCTCACTTAATTTTTCAAGCTTAACACGTTTAGAAAACTGTTTTTATAATTTCTCAAATCTTAAATTAGATTTCACACTCATATACATCAAAATTACCAGAACTATACTTCATATAATAATATCTATACCTATTAAATATAGAGGTAGCATCTTTTAGATTATTCTCCATACCTGTTTAGAATATTCAAATATAATTAATATTAAAGTGTTATACCATTTTCTTCTATTTCTTAAATCCATTCGCTTTTAGTAATTTAACACTCTTAACTAATAATTTTATTCACTATTGAATTCTTATTTGATAAGAGTCTCTAAAAGAATATTCACTTTAAATTAATTCAAGTATATCTATATTGGTGCTCTGCATACTGGACATGAGTTGTAATTTTGATAGAAGTATTTATTTCGAACACATGGTTTACAAAATGTATGACCACATGTTAAAGTAATTGGTTATAACAATGTTTATAAACATATTGGACAATCAAAAAGTTGTTGCATAATTAATTAATAATGGACTAATTTGACTATATTAATATACATAATCCACTATCTTAACTATAATAATATATTCTAAAATACTCAAATGCTTCACTCTTTATTATAAATTCATACCTCAAGATTAATTCTTATCAAAATATCTGCCTCAATATAAATTGAATCAATAATTTAAAATTTTTCAATATATACAAAATCTTAGATAAAGAAATAAAGAAAAAGATTTTTAAACTTACAGATATTTCTATTAATTAGGTAGTTTAATTGAAATGAGATAATTATATTAAAGTTATTTATGTATTTTTAAAAACTCTTTTTATTATTAATTAGAACTTAATAGTTGGTATAATTTAATATATATATAAATATAAAAACAATTACAAATAGACTTCTTTTTAATGAGGCTTATATATAAATATAGTTATTAAGATTAAAAATATTCTTAAACAATTAGTATGATAAAAAAGATTTATTTGTTTAATAAATGTCTAAGAAGTCTTTATTATTATTCTGAATTATTTATATAGTTAATATATTGTTATAATGAAAGAAATTTTGATTTGCAATTTATTTATACATTAGAATAAGAATTATATTTTTAAGAATATTGATCTTTAATTTTTGGAGAATAAAAAGGGTTGCAACATTTATTATCCATTCATAAAATAGTAAGTTTAAACTTAAATAGAAAATAATATAAAATTACATGTTTAATAACTTAATATGGTTTTATATTGTAAATACATATTAGAGATGGAATAAGTTTGATTTTTGTTGGGTTAGAGTAATGTGAATTGATAATGAATTGAGTAAAGTTAATAATAAATTAAGAATGTTTTGGATGATGAAAGATTAGAAATAATGAAGAGAATTAAGTTTATTAGAATATTTATTAAAATTTTTAATGAATATTATATAGAAATAATTGTTGTATATTTATCATATGAATGAGTGATAATTTAATAATTATATATTTATTTATAATATGTAATAAATTGGACACCAGATCTTATCAAAATGGTAAAGAAATAATTCTATCATTTTAGGTACTAAACAAATTACAATTATAGAGCACTATTTTAGTATGAAGTTAAAGAGGAAGGGTATATTATGGGACAATTGATAGAAAGAAATGAGGATATTTTGAATGTGGTGATTCACACAATTCGTTTTACTTATAGATAAGGATTTCAGGCATATCAATGTTAAGATAGTGCATTGACAACAGATTCTGGATGGGGTTGTGTAATAAGAGTGGGATAAATGATGATGGCAGAACTCTTAAAAAGGCATTTAAAGTGTTTTTATAATGTGGATCTGTTTTCGATTCCTCGTCTTTTGTAGGAAGTTTTATAATTGTTCAAGGATGATGATGAAATGGAAAGTTAGAAAGGTTTTGTAAGACCATCAAAGTATGGATTTTCGATTTAGAAGATAATGAGAGTAGCCTATAAAGAATGGGGTAAGAAACCTGGTGAATGGTATAGTCCAAATTAGATAGTATAGGCAATTTACAAAATTCTATCAGAGAATAATATCACATGTAATTTTAAAATTTAAGGGTAAAAGATTGTTGTGGTTTGGGTTTTGTACCATTCTACGAGAGCTAAATAGATCTAAGAGCAATATTTTAAGAGATGTGCATGATTGAGAATTGTTGTTGTTAATAGAGAACATTTTCTATTGAGTAATTTTTGAGAGCATTAGAAAAATTGGAGATTGGTAAAGAAGAAGTTGTATAAGTTATGCATGGTAATGATTCAATAAGCGATGTTTGTTATGATGATTAATCAGAATAGAATAAGAAGGAGATTGGAAATTTGATAAAGAAATATATTTGTTAAAAATGTTTTATACCTGTTAGAGCAGTAACAGTATGTTTATTAAGCAGAATTGGATGTGATTAGCCTAATCCAGATTATATATAAGCAATTAGATAATTTATGAAGAAGAAATATTTTGCTGGTATGTTGGGAGGTAGACCTAAAGAAGCTAATTTCATTGTAGGTTTTGTTGATAATAAATTTGTTGTATTGGATCCACATTTAGTATAAGAAGCTAAGATGAATCCTGAAGAATATATTAAATCATGTTTTCCAGGTGAAGCTTTATTTATGAGTGATAAAGAGATAGATTGTTCACTTGGATTGGTATTCTATTTAAATAATGTGGATGATTTGATTGAATTAATCTATGATATCTAAGCACATTAGTAAATAAACTTTTTTTCATTTGCTCATCTTTAACATTGGAAATACTCAGAGACTAAAAAAGAAGAGTAACTTCAAAATATTAGAGAAATGAAAGAATTCTTAAGTGAATTTTCAGTACAATAATAACAATAATAAATATTGAATTTAGAGATTTCCACTTATCAAGAAGCACATTCAAATGAAATTGAATACTTTGATCAATAACCAATTCTAAAAGAAATAGATTCAAGTTATGAAGAAATTTGAAAAATTTTAATTATTTTTACTATTCAAAATACGAATTTTATTATAATTAATCTTAGTTATTTCTAAAAATATTAATTATCAAACAAAAAAGAACATAAATCTATTATTTTTAGATTATATTGTTTTAATAAGATTATGAAATTAAAACTTAATATATTTCTAATTTTCATGTTATTAGAATACTATTCAAACTTGTAAAGTCACATATTAATATCAACAATTAAAAATGATATTTATATTAATAAACATAAATCTCTATTTGTTTGTCTCTTTAATTCTTATCAAATATTAATTATATTTAAAGTATTATAGAGATACTTAATGATTGTTTCGTCATAAATACGTTTTTGAATTATAAATAAATAAATGAAATATTATAAGCAAGGACAATTTCTTTGTTACATCGGAACATGGATACCTTTTGTTATATTAGTCACAATATTTCTATACTTTTATGTAGTGTATGTATAGGTATATGATGCCTATTAATGTTAAAGACCTATTTGTTACCTCGTATAAGATCAGAGTATATTGAAAGACCAGTAGTAGAAATAAATACTTATTTGATTCAATTAATACATATCAATGACTATGTATTCAGTAATTCAACAGTGGTAATTACAATATTATTGCATACATTACTTATTCTCTTTTTAATTACATTAATAAGAGTAGTAATAACATTACCTGGAAGAGTGCCTTAAGAATGGTTAAATAAAGTAGAGGGAGAAATAAATAAGATGATAGAAAATGAGGAGAATATGATAAATTTTCATAAAAAAGGATCATAGACATCAACATCATTCTCTTCAGAAATAGATGATGAATAACGATTATAATTGAATATAAAAGCAAGATTGGAATTGATAGATAAATCTGGTCATAGATTTTGTAAAAATTGTTAATCATTCAAACCAAAACGTTGTCATCATTGTCGTTAATGTAAGACATGCTGGTTGAAAATGGATCATCATTGTTAATGGCTCAATAATTGCATAGGTTATAACAATTATAAATTGTTTATCAATTTACTTTGTTATTCATGTATAACATATATATATATAAATAGGGTTACTTATAAGTTTTATAATGATAACATATAGTCGTTGTTATTATGATACTTTAAATTCATTTTCATCTGATAGTAAACTATTTCTAGTTTCATTTACATTTCTGTATTGTTGTTTCTTGTGGATACTATTAACAGCATTTACATTATTCCATTTATGGTAATTTAATTCATTATAATGAGATCAATAGGGCAATCAAATCAAACATCACAACCCTTGAATATTGTGAGAATAAACCTAGACAACCACTTTAGAAAAGTGCTTTAGAGAACTTTGTTGAAGTGTTTGGTATCAATCCTTTAATTTGGTTCTTACCAATTTAACCAAATACGAAACCAATATTGGATTGAAAATAGATAAATAAAAATTAGATAATTATATAAATATATTTTTATATAATGGAAAAAATAGATATGTTAGTTAAAGTAGTAATAATTGGAGATACAACAGTAGGAAAGACAAACATTATGACATAATATTGTGATACTAATTTTAAAATGAATTCTCTTCCCACAATTGGTGCTGATTCTAGAGTAAAGATGATTTAAATGAATGAAAGAGAAACTATAAAAATGATGATATGGGATACATGTGGTTAAGAACGTTTCAAATCTATTACAAAAAATACATTTAAAGGAGCATAAGGATTTGTATTGGTGTATGATATAACATCAAAAAGCAGTTTTGAACATGTAGAAGATTGGCTAGAAGTAAAACTTAACTTAATCCAAGTCAATCAAAGATAATATTGATACTAATACAGTATCAATAGTATTAGTAGGAAATAAATCTGATCTTGATGAATTGAGATAGATTTCAAAAGATTAAGGATAAGCTTTGGCCAATAAACATAATCTTAATTTCTTTGAGACTTCAGCCAAAATGGGAATTAATTTAAGTGAAGTTTTTGTTTCACTTGCTAGAAATATTAGAAAAATTATCAATTCTGCTAACAAAGATACTGAAATGTTGACTACAGATAAAACTAAAAGTACAAAGAAGAAAGGTTGTTGTTGATATTCCATATACTTAGTTAATTAATCAATATTATTATATTTTGTCTCTACATGTTGGACACTCTGCTTTTATAATCAACCATTCTTTTATGCATTAATTATGGAAATAATGATTGCATTATAGAATTTTGATTAAATCTTTATCATTTATCTCTTATAAACATATTGCACAAATTCTACTAATTACTTATAATATTTATACTCTTCTTATGTGATTTCATCTACTCCTACTAAAATTGGAATGTCATCAAACCAATTTTTTGGCTTCCTTGGTTTCACTATCCTTAAATTTTATGGAATCTATTGAGGTAATTGTTTTAAATTTAAGTTCATATAAATGTTATAAAGGAACCTTTCTATATTATACTTTAGTTACATAAATTGCCAAGGGAATCTTGGTTATTGTATTTAAGTCTTATGTATCCTCTTCTTTATTTCTTATACTCTCTCATAAGCATCTTTGAATTATTATTATCTTCTTTCATTCATTTGATTATTTATTTCTCATTATTTTACTATATTTCAATCTAGATTTATACAAGATAAAATCTTTTATATTCTACAGATATATATTATTTTATACACAGTAATATTCATAATAATAATTATAACTCACTAGACAAATCAAGAATTTATGATAAGTATTAAATTTTCTAATTGTCCATATACTTCAATGATTATGATCTATGTTGCTATAATTCACTACTCAATTATTCTATTATTTTATCCCTATTTCTCAACAAATTCTAACAATTCTATATATCTTATGCATATTAATTCTTCAATTTAGCTACCTCCTAATCCTTCTCCAATTACAATGCTTACAAATACTCTTTCTAATATTATTTCTCAGCTTCCAAATCTTTCTAACTCTACTCAGTCTTCACCTTACTTACTCCTTAATTTTATTAACTAAATTGCATAATCTCTTAATCCTTCTTACTCACCTCTTTTGTCAATAATTATAATTTTGTATTTAAGTAATTGATCTTCACTGTTAATTCAATATTATTACTTTCTATTCATATACCTATTGCATTAATTAAATTTCTGCTTATTTCAACTCTTCCAAACGAGCAATCTCTGAATTCATCTTATCGTTATTTAATTTAAATATTTTATATATCAATAATAATTCTAATCATCCTTTATCTTATATATCAAATTAACTAATTAAAATAATCATTCTCTCATTAAATTAGATACACTAATTCTTTTCATTTTAGTATCATAATGTAAATTAAAAACTATTCTCGATTCACATCAATTTAATCCAATCTCAAATTGAAATCAATTTAAAAATATATTCAAATCCTTTAGGAAAAATCTTTCTCTTTTATTCTTTTGAGATTTCAATAATCTTTTTATAAATTGAACAAAATCCTCATCACTTTGTTTTATATATATTAAATTAGATTAGTTTCTTTGCTTATATTAATCACATATTCAATTATATATTAAAATTTAAACTTGAAAGCATTCTCATCAAAAGATAATATTGATTATCAAAATCTCTAACTAAAAATTTATAAAAGTTTTTGATTTTCTCATAAGTTTCAAATTCTTCTAATTTAACATGAGCTATTAATAAGTGAGTATAGTTTAATAGAATCCTTGAAATGCCTATCCAACATACTTTATTATTTTAACAAAACTTAACCATTATTTTGATTGTTCAAACTAAATTAGCATTCTAAAATATATACAAAAAATGTATTTCCCATTGTTGATTATATTGTTTTTCCTCTTCATTTTAATTGAAATACTCAAACTACTATGGTTTCTTCATTTAATAAATAATTCTTATTTTGTCATCTTTAAGTATTAATATGAACATTACAATATATAGACTTGATGAATACTTATAACATATTGTTCATCAAATCTTAATAATAAACATGAAAAGCAACAAAAGTAAGTGATTATTGAATTATATAAAATTTTAATAATGTTAAAGGAATTAGAGAAATATCGTGTTCCTGATAATTTTACTGGTGCTCGTTTATAGATTGCATGCACATAAATAATTGATAGTTGGGTAGCTTTAAAACTAGCTTTTGAACATTAAACATAAACAATTCAAGAGAGTCCTGAGAATATCAAAAAGCTAATGGCCTACTAATTAGCAGCATATATATACAATTGTGAGACTGAAATAGATGACTTAGTATAATTTTTATCAGTTTATTTGGAATAATACTTATAGTTGATAATTGAAGATAATTCAGATCGATATGTAAAATGTTGTTTTAATATTAAAAGATTGCAGAGAGACTATTGGATGTGTTTAATGATTTGGAATAAGATAAAGAGGGTAAGTATTTGAAGTTGCTAGAAGATATCAGAGTATATAATGAACAGAATAAAAATGTTAAACATGTGGCTAATATTGAAGATTCAGATGAAGAGTCTGATAATGAGGAACAACCTCCTTAATTAGTTCAATAATAGTAGTAATAAATGCAAGTTGAAGAAGAGGAAGATGATGTTGATTCGGATGGTTATGAAACAGTTAAACCAAAGAAAAGGTACAATAAGCGTAATTGATTAATGTTAAGCTTTATATTAATTTGTTTAATTCAGATTAATTAATAGTATAATATTAGAAATACAAATATATATATATTATAATTTTATATGTAACAATAATCTAAATAGTTGGCAAAGGAGGAAGAATAAAAGAAAGTGGAAAATCATATTTTGGAGAGATTTGAATTATTGGAATTCAAAGGAAAAGGAGCATATGGAGTAGTATGGAAGGCACTTGATCGAAAAACAAATTAGATAGTAGCACTCAAGAAAGTAAATACTATAAATAGGATTTAGATTTTTGATGCTTTTCATAATGTTACTGATTCTTAAAGAACATTTAGAGAAGTGATATTCTTGGAGTAACTTAAGAATCATGAAAACATAATCAAATTGACATCTGTTATTAAGGCAGAGAACAATAAAGATTTATATATGGTATTTGATTACATGGAGACAGATGTGCACAATGTATGTATAATTGATTGAGAACTAGGTTATAAGAGGAAAAATTCTGCAACCTATTCATTAAAAATATATAGTTTATTAAGTGTTGAAAGGATTGAAATATCTACATTCTGGTGAAGTAATACATAGAGATTTGAAGCCTTCTAATTTATTAATCAATTCTGAATGTAAAGTCAAGATAGCAGATTTTGGATTGGCTAGAAGTGTAGCAAAACCAGATGATAACACAAATCCAATACTCACTGAAAGTGTGGCTACTAGATGGTATAGAGCACCTGAGATATTATTTGGATCTTAAGATTATTCCAAAGCAATTGATATATGGAGTTTAGGATGTATTGTGGGAGAGATGATAGTTGAAAAAGCAATATTTCCAGGGACTTCCACTATGAATTAGATTGAAAAGATAGGAGAACTATTAGGACGACCTACTCCTGATGATCTATAATCTATGCATGCTCCTATGGCATAGTAGATTATGCAAAACATTACAATAAAATAGAGGAGTAGTTTTGTGTCAAGTTTTCCAGCTGCCACAGAAGAGGCAATTGATTTCCTTAAGTAAAATTAGAATTTGTATATTTTTAAAGGAAAACTTTGGTCTATAATCCATCTAAAAGAATGACAGTAGAATAAGCTTTGGAACATAATTATATCAAAGACTTTAAGAAAAAAGAGGTGGAATCTAAAAGAGGTATAATATTAATTGTAATAATAACAGATTCACCATTTAACACATTCATGGATGATAATCAAAAATATTCCATAAAGTAATATTAGGATGCTCTATATAATCGTATAGTTGAAAAAAAGAGAGTTGAATAGAAATAAGAACTAATTAAAAATTCGAATAATGGAAGTGTTAATACAAGTATTGACAAGTCTGCATCTCCGACTAAGAAGGAGACATCAATTGTAAAGAAAGAAGTTGAAAAATCCAAATAAGATAATGATATTCAGAAGTATACGAGAGGTTTTCATTAGAAATCTTAGTCATACTCTTAAGGGTAGTTTATGGGTAGAACAGCTTCATAAGAGGATGTTTAGTTTTAGGTCTAGATGTATCAAAGTCCTACTTAAAAGAAGCAATAATCAATGTTTCCAATGGTCGATTCCAATAGTCCATTAAATAAAGGGAATAGAAGATCTTCTTTGGACAAGAAGTTGTTGAGCACCTTGACTGCATCGATGTAGAGTACTCTATCTCAATAGTAATTGTCAAGAAAAGGAATACAAGGTTCGATATCGAAAACAAATGTTTTCAATAAATCTATGATAAATACATAATACAACTCTTTATTATAGAAAAAGAAATGAACTTAATATATTAAATTCCTCTTTATACGAAATTAAATATAAGTAGGGGGAGATTATTATTAATATAATAATGAAAATTAACATTATTTTAAATCTAATCAAGTTAAAAAAAGAAAGAAGATAAATATAAAAAATATTAGACAGTATTCATCCTGAAGAATAAAATTTTGCATGCAATAAATAAGAGGAAATCCTTTATTATAATATCTATATTTTGACCATACTTCCTATTTTGAGAATATTGGAGATTGTTAAACATGCTTTGATTGAAAAGTTTATTACAAAGATTCCAGCATTTCATCCTTTTACAAAATAATAAGTTGAAGAGGAATCCTTACATATTTTCAATGATTTTCTTGATTCTTTATCATAGAAAGGGTAGATGAATGTTAATAAATATATACACAATATGATAAAAAAGTAGATAACCTATAAAGAAGTGTTAAAATTAGCTACTACAGCTAAAACTCATTTAATGTAACCAAATGATTTTTAAAGATAATCATCAATATAATTAAAACATATAAATGGGAATGTGAAAGTTAAATCAAAAATGTCTGATTTTTATGAGAATACTGCAGATGATCATTTATAAAGGAATTTAACAGAAAATAAGACATTTGATTTTCTTTATATTTTTATAGGAGATATACATTATCATAAATTATTAGAGGATCCAGATTATTTATATAATTAAATTTAACATATGAATCCAGATTATTGGAAAACTAAATATACACCACTTATGCATAAAATAAGTGAATGTATAGATGAAGATTTGGAAGTATACATTAAATAAGATGATAAAAATTAAAATAAATAAGAATAATAATAATAAAAATAAGAATATTGTTGTATACTTAGAGCAATTTGTTAATATGCAGTAGATTTATTAAAAAGTATTAATGTAGCTACTTTGTATTATTATTCTGTTAATTATTCATTTCAGAAATTTGTGAATCGTTTGAATGGAAATGAAGATTTATAGAGAATATTGTATTTGACTTAAAATCATTATAAGGAAAGGAATTATAAATAACATATAAAAGATTATTTAAGAGGACATTCAAATTTCATAAGAGAGATTAGAAATAAGTCTTTGGTTGATAAGGGAGAAAGAGAGCTGATAAAAATAATTTTAAATTTCTGATTTTTTATTTATTTAATGTTAAAACCACATCAAGTGTTGCTGCATGAGTTTGCTGAGCTGATATTGAATCAGAGAGTAGAATAGAAACCATCAAGTTTGAGACATTCAAATGTCTTGAATTTATGGTAAATAAAGGGAATATGGGTGAATGAGAATTCAGATTTAAGATTGCAGATCAATTTCTACATATAGAAATGGAATACTCGGATTCTAGTTGAAGTTTGGGTCTTAGAAGTAATCATAACAAACGAGTAATAGAACAACACTAAAAAGATAATTTAAGATAAGTCATTAGGAATTTAAGAAAACACAAAGACTAGCACTATTGTAATCAAGGAGTATATTAGGAATTTTGGCCAATCTTCCACTTTCTCAAGAAATCCCTTCCTTCAACAAGCATATGAAGATAGCATATAATATTGAGAACACTTCAATTCCAAATCATTTCCAAACTATCAATTTTCCAGTGATCCCTTGTTCAAGTAAAAAGATCACTTATTTGTACATGCAAGTACATTATTAGAAAGAAATTATATTCTCTCCATAACCAAAAATTGCATAAAAACCAATCACTTAAAGAGAAGATACTGAGATGAGCATCTTGCATCAAATTTAGAAGAATTTCCGAAAAAGAACCAAAGCTTCTTCTTAAATTATTGATACTCTTGAATACTTTAATTTAATAAATTAAACTTTGAAATGAATTATTACTATATATATATATATATTTATTAATAACTGAATGATCATCGATCCAACTTTTTTAGTCAAAATCACTTTCTATGCAAGCATGGTGATTTTCATTTCCCTAACATTCACAAGTATTCTCTTTGGTTAACCTGATAAGCTGACAAGAGGATTTGATCCAGATGGTAATACAAATATATTTATATATATATATAGGTATTGCATGTGGTGCTGATTTTGGATCAAATTAATATCCTTATATATATTTCAGTAATCCTACACCTACTACTCAACATTAATCAGTATGTGTAAAATCATGTCCTAAACCTGATCATAAAAATGGAAGTACATATAAAATTCAAATCATTTAGTGCCAAAACAATTAGAATGTGTCCCTAACTCTAATGTTTAGTAATGTTAAGCTAAATTCTCTATTGATAATCCAGAGGATTAGTTCTTAATATATGATACTTTCCTTTACAAAGGCAATATTTGTATGCCTAGAAATTTAGCTTATTATGAGGCAATCAAAGATATAGCAACACCTCCTTCTAGATTAACAAATACAAGTGATGTATTTTAAAATAAATGGATGCTCCTTATTTTTATATTTATTGCTGGTATTGCATCTAAATTATTGCTCACCTAATTAAAGGCTAATACTTAATATAGTGTTTGGGCATTAACATTTGGATTATTTATATTTGTGGGAAGTCTAGGAATTATTTTTGTTTCTTAAGCTAGAGAAGCTATCTCTAATTCATCAGAAACTAATTCAATATCATCATTTTAAGTTGATGAAGAATATATTTTGAAAATGACTAATGTGCCAGATCCAACTAAATTGATCTTTTTATCATTACTTTTTGTCATATTGACATTTTATGGAGCTTATTTCTTATATCACAATTATGATAGAATAAAAAATCTTTCATAATTATTTGAATAAGTTGAAAAATTTATGGCTGAACATGAATATCTATAAGAATTCTCTTATCCAACAATTTTAGTCCTTAATTTCTTTCTATTTTTAACCATCTATACAATTCTGTATTTAATTTATATATTATAAATAGTTCATTAAGATCTTGTTTTGTAATTGATTTTGAATAGATTGGACCTTTTGAAAAAATTTAAGGAGGTTTTCTTTATTATTTCCAGTACTTGATATTTATTTTTTTCTTATGGGGAGTCTAAATAATTTTTGGATTTAATAACTACATCATATCATCATCCTTAGTATAATGGGTTCAAGTTGGTCATGTTCATAGATAAGAATAAGATTTTCAATATAATCACAATCAATCTTCACTTGTTTTAACAAGATTCTTTTTACAAGAAGCCTTTTATAATTTAGGTAAGATAGCTTTTGCTTCATTTCTATTATTGGTTTCACCAATTAAATTTGTATGTGATGCTTTAAAGGATTGGGCAATTAGAAGAAAAAATGAGAAGTTTAGAAATTTCCTTACAAAATATTGTTGTTTACCTTTTATTGAAATATACAATAAAACAAGGTCAATAGAAGAAGTTATTTATGTGGAATTAACAATAAATAGAAAAAGTAATGTATCTATAAATGTTTGTTTAAAATTCATTGATGATTATTTGGAACTAAAATAAGAAGATTCTAATGCTGCAGAAATATTTGAATAATTAAGTAATTTTCAATTAATAAAGAATAGGAAATACAGTTGATTCATTTTTATTAATAACCAAAATATTCATTGCACTATTTTGTGCAATAATATGTAAATTTATATTGAATTTTAAATACATTTCTAAAGATATGTATGAAACAAATCTAACTTGTTTAATTGCTGCAGTGATAGGATATTATGTTGCATCATTGTACTTCTAAACCTATTCAATTGTTCTTTAAGGCTTTGGCTATATATATTTAAGAACAATGCATATATGTAAAATGAATAATGAGGCATATGAAAAGAATTAATAAAAAAAGAAAGATACTGCATTTGAAACATTTAAGAGTATTTTTAAAGTATATCTAATTATTTAATTTTAGGATTTCTCAGATATTATGATCAATTTTGAGAATAAGCTTAAAGAATAGAAGAATGAGCAACTTCCTAATTGATAAAATTTATGTTTAGACAATTAGATATATATTATATATGTAGAAAATTATATATAAATATATTATAAAAAATATAGGAAAAAAGCTAAGATGGATAAAATAATTGCTTCTGCTACAAGTGTAAAGGAGAAACTAAAAGCGCTTGAGTAGAGCTATAAAGTTTTGAACTAATAAGAAATTGAAGGAGTATATAAACACATACACACATTAGGAGAAGACTCTTTGGTATTATTGGATTAAGTATAAAAAATTAATTTTGGATACATTTTTAATGATTTACAATTATTTAAGAGAGTAAGTGAGAGCATAAGAGAATTAGATCAAATTTGTATTTACCTTAAGTACATAGATAGAAATTATGTATAAAAAGCATATTTGAAAGAATTGGGATTCTAAAGTGAAAAGCTCATTATGGAATTTAGATAGAAAGGAAACATTTTATAAAAGATGCATCTTGATACTTAGGATCTAAAAATTTAGAGATAGATGATTGAAATGATAATAAAATTATGTCCAAAAGATTTAAGTTTTAATCCTGAATTGTTTTAATTAATGTTAATCCCATTCAAATGTTATTAATAATTAAATCCTAAAGATAATGATTTATTAGACAATCTAGCAAGTGTTTTATTATAGTAATGTAATGGACAAGGATAAGCAAATCAAAATTAAGTACATGATTGGTTAGTACTAATTAGTGGAATTATATAACATGCTTATGAAGGAAATACATAGGGATTACATATATTATTAAAGAAAGTAATAATATTAATATATAAAAATAGATATCTTAAGATTATTTAAGTGAATTATTAATTAGACATAAAAATTATATGTTAGATAATTACTTTAAGAATTCTCAAGATACAATCAAAATATTTTAAGGATTGATATCTCATACTATTTGTTAAGAAGCCATTTTTATTATTAAAACTGTGAGTCAAATGTTCTATAATATAGTGAAAGATTATAATGATAGTTCTTATTTAGATATACTAATAGAAGTATATAAAGAATTTATTCTTACTAAAATATTAGAAAATTTATAAATGATATCACTCGCTATAGATATTTTAGATCTTTTGCTCTTCTACATAATAGGAATGTCATCAATAGATTAAGAACCATTTTTACGTTCTATTAATATAATGATAAATAGTTTAACATTAACAGCATCTTTAAAATTTTAATCAAGAGATTTTATAACACCTAGATATCAATTTTTGTAAATTATTAGATAGAATTATCATTCATTAAATTAAATTGAAGAATTTTAGAGAATTTATACAATTTTTAAAGAGAAATCATTTGAATAAAATAAATACATTTCATTAAGTAATTATTAATCTTGGGAATTTTAAAATCTAAAAAATTAGAGTCCTATTAATTATTCTTTATAATAAAGAGATTCTAAAGATTTTGTTGGATTAGAGAATCTTACAAATACTTGTTTTATGAATAGTATTCTTTAAAGTTTATATATGACAGAAAGTTTTAGAAAATTAGTATTATAAATGAAATTTCCTAATTCAATTCTTTAATTTACACCTTAAACATCATAATGGAGTTGTCTAAAAAAACTATTTACATAATTAACATATTAAAATTAAGGTTATTGTTCACCATATGAATTGAAACGATCATTGAGATAACCATATCGTAATACAAATGATCAATAGGATGTTGGAGAATTTGTTCATCATTTTTTGGAAGATTTATTTGATGGAACATCAAATGAAGCATTTAAAACTACTATTGGAAATTTATTCTTTGGATATTAGAGACAAATTATAAAATGTTATAATTGTGTAAAACCCTAACCAAATTATGGATAAAAAGAAAAATTCTTAGGAATTGATTTGCATTTCAATAAATTAAATGATATAAATATTATAAGTATGATCAAAAAAGCATATGAAGAAGAATAAATTGAATTTACATGTGAAAGATGTAGATAAAAAACAAATAAAATTTATAAATCTTAATAATTACTTTAATTACCATCTGTCTTATTTATGACACTTCATAGGTATATATTATTATTCATTTATTTATTAAGATTTACATATGATTAAAATAGCCAAACTATGACCAAAATATTAGATAAAGTTCCATTTTAATTTTAAATTGATTTTAGAGAAGCATTTCCAAATAAACATCTTAATAGTTAAGATAGTGTTTATAATCTTTATGCATTCATAGTTCATTTAGTATTACTTAATTTTTTATTTATTTTAAGGGTAAAAACAGTTACTCTGGTCATTATATATGTTATGCTAGATAATTAAATAAACCTGAAACTTGGATTGCTTTTGATGATACTATGATTTCGACATTTTAATATAATAGCAAATAATTGGATGAAGAATTGATGTATTATGAATATATTATTTATTTTAATAGAGTTGAAGAGGCACCCTACTTATTGTTTTATTAGAATTAATCAGGATAGCCATTGATATTTAATAATTGATTTTGTTATGATTATGAATTCCTTTAATATAAATAATGTATATAAAGTTCAAGCTTTAGATTCAATTTACACATTAAAACATCTCATGTCTCCTGTCTATTTATAATATATATATCGCTTGAAATTCTTAATATATTAATCCCACATATATTTCTCTTTAAATTCATCTGTCAATATATAAACTGAAGCATAAGGTATACCAAAAATCATTAATTTCATTAAAAATGATGACCATCTACCTTAAATTCTTGAAATCAATGGAAGATGCTTATAGAAATATATTCCAACTAAAGAGACAGCAACTGAACCTATTAAACCATAATCTCTATATTCTTATAATTAAACATGATTTTTTAAGAATTCTCCCTTAAAAACATAATAATTCAATAATCCTCTCTTTAAATAGATTTAAATAATAGAATACATTCTTCATCATGTCATGATAGAATTGAACATTACTAACTTTTGGATAGTATTTAACAGTATAATCATGATCATAGGAATCTCTCTCAGGTAATAACATTATGAATTAAATAATTAAATTTATAAAACATTTTCAATATGTTTATTAAATATCAATATAAATTAATCATTTTATTACAGCAGAATACATAATGTTTAGTTCAGTAACTTTATTTTCCAACTTTTGAGTTGAAGATTGAATTAATTCATTTTCTAAATTTTTTGGTTCAAATTCATTTTATATAAACTTCTAAGGATGAAGTGAAAAAAACATGTAAATTTATAATGTGTATATCTATCTTAATGTTGCTTCGTCAGTAATTTATTTACTTTTAATGGATTTAGTGATTTCTGCTATAAAATACATATAAACTTTGTTGAAAGAATCCCAAGATTTTTTATTTCTCTAATTGGTTTGTACTAATTCATCAATAATTTTTATCTTAAAAATATATAATATTATATACAAGTTAATTAGTATTGTCAGCCTATTTCAATTTTATAAATTATGGCAATAATTTTTCATTGTAAAATTAATTCATTGTTTCATGATTAGTTTTTAAATAATTTAATACAGAATAAAATTTAGCCTAATCAGATTAAAATGTTTTAATATCATTCTCCTTAAAATTTATTTCAGAAGGAGGAAGCTATAAATATTTAATAATAAATATATACTTAGCCTAAGAGGATTTATATATAAAAATTATACTAGTTTAATAAATATTTAGTTGATGTAACACTAAATAATAGCTACTAAGATAGACTTATTTATAATTTGTCTTATAATGCAAAGAATAATCGAGCGGTATTATTATTAGAAAATGAGAATATTCTCTAAACATAATCAAAGTAGTCCTTTATTTCATCAATTTTATTTATTTATTGTTCCACTTTCTTATAATTTGCTTAAAATCTATCACTATCACTCATATGAGTTGTTGCTATACTAAGATTTTCATCAGTTATAATTTAATTATTTTAATCCTTTGATAATAATAAGAATATTTCATCCCATCTGATTCTCATTTCAGGATCTACTTTTAACATTTTTGTTATTAAATTTATATAAGATTCGTTTATTTTAACATCTTGAGGAAATTTAAGTGGTTCTGTTGTTATTTTTTTATGTAATTTATTTGGATGTTGCTCAATAAAAGGTGTTGTTCCATATAGCATTTCATAAAAAATAACACCCAATGACCAAATATCAACTTTAGATGAATATTTTGAACTAACCATCATCTCTGGAGCCTGATATAATAGAGTGCCAACAACTGTTTAATCTGCAGCTAAATCCATTTCTTCTATTATCTTAGCAAAACCAAAGTCTGCAATTTTGGCTACACCTTTTGAAAATAATATATTTTCAGGTTTTAAATCTCTATGAAGAGTCTTCAATTTATATAATGATTTATAGCCCTCCACTATTTGACAAAAGATTTGATAAGCACGTTCTTAATTGAAACGTCTCTTTGGTTATCTATTCAAAATTTTATTTAGATTTCCCTCCTCACAAAACTCTAAGATTAAGTATGTCGATTGATCACATTAGATTACATCTATCATTCTAATAATTTTTTTTCAAAATTCATACTTCACAACATTTTCACTATCTATTTATTTGTGTATTTCACGTTCTCTCTGATATAATATCTTAAGAGTTTCTATTGTTTTATTTGTCGAATCTTTAGGCAAACTTTGAAGAATTTTTATAGCCACTTTTTCTTATGCATTTCCTTTTACAAAACCTTCAAAAACTGTAGCAAAAGCACCCTAATTATATGATTTATCCATTACAGTTCCTATTTATTTTTTCTTTAGTAATACATACTTCTCTGCTATTGTTTTTGTATCTAAATTCTAAGAACTGAGTAGCATTTTTTAATTTAATAATTAATAATTTGAAATTGAAATCTGAATTATATACTTCAATTTACAAGAATTTCTATCTGATTTTTATGAAGATCCATATCATTTATAAGTAGAATTATTTTCATTTATCAATTCTAATGTATTTCAAATTTAAATTATTTATGTAATCACAAACTTAACTTATTTTAAAACATATTATTTTATGTGTTCAAATATGTAATTATATTGATAAGTAAATTAATGTAATATGAAGATAAAAACACAAGAGTAACATCTAAATATATATTAATTCTTAATTGAAATCGACTAAAAATCAAAATAAAAAATAAAAAATAAAACAATATAAAATAATAAACTACAAGTGATAAAAAAATATATTTAGGCCTTTAAAATAACTATTTAAAAGAAAATTAAAAATCTAAGTCGCAAATACTAATAAAATCAGACTAAACTTTATGAATAATTTTAAAATTCAATATAAAATGAATAAAAAAGAAGTTCAATAAATTTAATCGAAATATATAATTAATTTTATTAAAATTAATTAAAAAGAGAATTATAAAAAACTGCATATAATATATATTATTAAAAATTCTAAATTGGATATAATATTTATTAAACCATTTGAACTCTCATTTTCAATAATGGCTGCTCTATAGAAATCTTTGCATAGTCACTCTATCAAGTTCTTAAAGATCAATTTTGGAGTCCATTCTTAAATGTCCTTAAGAATCTATAACTTAACCTATTTTAAATCTTTTGTAATTTTCTATTGATTAATTTTTTAGTTCGATTATTCGTTTTGCCAAAGGAATTCCAAAAACTCTCAATTTTTTAAATGCTCTTTAAACTCTTTATCTTTCTTAAGCTTTGTTTTTTAGCATATTCTTAAAATATCTAGAATTCTACAAAATTGGCAGTTTGGATTTAAGTAATTCTTTTAATTTATCCAATAAAAATTAATAAGTTTTTGAATACTCTGCTATAATTTTAGTAATTATTTTATAAAGGAAAATAAAATTAAAGAAAGCCATCATGATAAAAAATAATGCTTAAAGTTCAGATACTGAAGATTAAGATAAATATGCTCCAATAGCTAAACTGATTGTAATCATACATATATTTGCAGAATAATAGTCTAAATTATTTAGACTACTTAATTTGTAGGGTCTATAATTACTATTAAGTTCTTAATATAGATAAGTGATAAATAATACTAAAATACCTTTTACTGCTATACTGTCCTCATAATATATAAGAGATAAGATTATTAATTCTTTTTAAAAGATCTTTATCAATTCCCAAAAGTATGCTTCTTCTTTGTATTCATGATACAAATAACCCCAATGAAGTCTAGTAGATTTTTGATCTTAAACTCTTCTGCATTTATAAAGTCCATAAAATAAATAGAAAGGAATTAAGATTCCTAATATTAATAAAAAAGGTAAGCAGAAATAAATCATCCATTTAAGATGCATAATCGTATCATATCTTTCTGATACATTAGCTTGAATCCATTTAAATCCCGAAATCTCTCTATAGGATACTAATTAAACTAAGCCATCTGTTAAATTAGGAGAGAAATAAAGGTACCCATAAATCAAAGCTGTAGTTGGAACACTAGAATTATAAGAAGCTAATTTAAAATGAGCAACTATTAAATAGAATCCTAGAAAGAAATTAATATATAGAAAAGGCATAATGATTTACCATATCATCCTACTATATTATATTTCTACATTAATTAAATCTACTAAAAAGCAATCAAGTGAATGAGTAACTGTTTATAAAGGATTTCCTACTGCTGATATTGTACTATTTAATTCTTAAGGGAAATTAAGTTAAAATGTAGTAATGGTAACAATGATTTAGAGATAATTAGTTAGCATCTTTATTAGTATGCCTGATTGAGCTTTATTTAAATAATTTGAGATTCTCATGTTTTTGAATGGCTAAGCACGAGTGTGTTATTCAACAGTTTTGATGTTACCAGAAACTGAGATAAAAATAAATATCATCGTCATGATAATGACCCCAATAATCATCATAATATTTTTGCCTTTATCCAAACATGTTCCACAGATATATTTTTCACTTAAAGAAAATGAACCTTCTCCTCTAATATTATATAAATCACATTATTCACAAAGGGCTCCTAAATGACCAGTATAACAAGATTTATCACCTACATTCCATCCACCATTACAATTCATAGGTAAATTCATACAATAACTAATTAATTTTGTATGAAAATATGGTCTCCAATATCCACTTCTTAGTTATATTTAATTTTTGTAAACAGCAATAGAAGATATATCATTCTTAATATCACACTTTTAAGCATTTAAAGTTAATGAAAAGAGTCCTTGAGTTGAATCACATTATTCACAAGCAAAATTAGTTATATTTTTGATTTCTCCAAATTAGCATTCAAAAGTCTTAACATTTATTCTAAGTTTATAATTTTGATGTTAATTTTCAACAAAATATGGATATTATGAATCAAAAATTGGAACTTTAATAGCCTCACAACTAAATTAAAGTTGTAGTACAATTTCATCTTCTGCCTCATTATTAAAATACACAATTAATTCATCTAAATTATAATCTTAAGTATCTGTATTAAATTTAATTTAGTTAACATTAGTATAATTATTAGTGAATAATTAATCTTCATCTTTTTTAGAAATATTATATTATCTGCTTTATATAGTGCATAATGATGTTTCAATTGAAGGATAAAGATTAATTTTCATATCTCTACTTAATGTTTAAATACGAAATATTAAATTATCATTTATGAATATTTAATTCTTCTAATCAAAAAATTAATATTTTGATATTGACTATCCTGTTGGTAATTTTACATATTTAGAATATTATCCATTAATTAGATGATATGGTTATATCATAATTTCTTCAATCTACATTGTTGAATTAAGTACATTACTAATTGTATTTAATATGGGTAGTTCACCTTTTAATCTAATCGATAATCTTTCAGGAATAGAAGCAATATTATTACCATATTAAATTGCTTAATTTTTTACTATAATTGTATTAGTTTTTATATAATTCATTGGTAATTGATCTTAAAGATACATTCCTCCTCCAATAATTGCTCTATTATCAGAAATCATGCAATTTTCTATTAAAAGAGGTTCATCTCCTAAAATATACAAAGCACCCCCATTATTTGATGCATTATTTGATTAAAAATTTGAAATTAGAATTTAAGTCTTAATTTAATTTAAATATAGACAAGTTCCATCTCTACCAAGATTTTGAGTACAATAATAGTTTGAAATCTGTAGATCATATAGAAACTTAAACTATATTTCATTCAAATTTCTACCACTTAGTAATGATATTTTCTCAACAATTATACACCCTTTTTATCCACAATTAGAATTCAGTACTTTTATATTATTAAGTTATTAAACTTTCGATTACTATAAATTTTAATCTTAAAGTTATAGAGAAATCAATCCTTAGTTACATTATTTACATATTATATATTTTAAAAGAACTTCATACATTTCTAATTAACATTAAAGAGAAGAATATTTGAAAATCATCAATCCTGAATTTGAAATATCTAATTGTGTCTGTAAACTTATGTACAAACATTATCCAATTGATTCATTGTTTTCATTATCCTATTATAATAAATTAGGGGCAGTTTGAGTATCTTATGGGCAATCATAGAAAACATCATTTACATCAGATATTAGATTCGTACAAGTCACATTTATAAATTCAAATCCTACATTAATCAATTCAATCTTGAAATTTCGTAATCTTATTGTAACATTATTAACTAATATTTAAAATTTAATAAATACATGAAAAGGGATTTATTGATATTAATTAATTACTTAAATAACTATTTTATATATTTATTGTATCCATATAAATATTTCTTGTATTTTATAAATTCAGAAAAGATTCTTAAATTAAATAATACGATGAAATATTTTATAATGTAATTGATGATCCATATTCTACAAAAATTAATGATCTATTATTAATAAGATATTATTTTTCAAATTCATTTGCAATTGTTGTAAATTTATTTAAAAATTTGAAATAACTCTATTGAGAGTTTTTAATTTCTAATTTTGAGATGAAAAGTGTTTATGGATATTAAACTAATCTCGAATAAGATATAAACATAATCGATCCTTATTAAGCATAAATATCTCTTAAAATAATATCACTTATTGTAAGATTAGTTTAAGAGTTATTAGATTTAAGATAGAGGAATCCTCCATATTATCGACAATAAATATTTTGAACTTTGATATTTTTGATATCAATTTTAAGAGCTGTTGCAGATGATCCTTCAATATAAATAACTCCTCCTTATTCAATTTCTTAGTAAAATTAAGTAGACAAATTGTAAAATGAACTATTTTCAATTAATATTCTAGATGATCCTTAAGCAAATATAGAGAAACAGCCTCCAAATTATCCTACTGCATTTTAAAAACTACTATTAAGTATATTCAATGATTAAACCCAAATTAATCCTATTCCAGATATAGATTTTATTTAAAAGATTTTTTCGATTGCTTTGTATGTTACAGATTGAGAAAAACCCCATATTAAATAAGGTTAAATAACATCATAATTCAAGACATTATTACTTTCAAAACTACAATTTCTTACTTCTAATGATTAAGTAATTATTGATAAAATAGTTCCTCTACTATTTGTTAAAATATTGTTATCAAATATAGAATTCATGAGAAGAATTTAACAGTTGGGACAATTAATTAATAATAAACCAGTTTATTTTTCTAAATGATCTTAAATGTATTCATTAAGGACATTAAGTTGAAATATTAAATTTTTAATTTCAATCAAAGATTCCTAAAGAGAATTTATTTATATCAATGAAGGAGAGAATTTGATTTTAGATACTAATAGTAAATTGGATTAAAAAATAATATTTATTAAAATAAGATTTTGTTAAATTTTTCTTTAACTCAATGAAGCTGATTGAATCTTTATAATTGGAAAATTGTATGCTTAAGATTATAATATTGTAACATTAAAAAATGAAGCATTATAAAAGGATCCAATATTTATAGAAGAAGGATACAATTATCCTTTTACTTATTTCAACTGGCAATTTAAATTCTTATGCAACCCCAAGAATTAGAATTTATTTTGCAATATTTTTCCATTAGTTATTTATAACACTTTTGTTTCTAAAAATGAGAATTCTACTAATCCAAAACCTCGATTGATTATAAAATTAATTATCAAAATCTCATCAAATGTAATTAATACTAAAGAAGAATCATCTTATTATTAATTATATTCTAAAGATTCATCTGTTAAATAATTATCAATAAGGTTGATTTCTTAAATTATAATTTTTTATTTTGAACTCTAATATTTATTAAACTCTATGAATTTAATAATATTATTATAAGTATTGTTTTCAAATTGAATATTTTTAAATTAGTAATCATAATCCAAATGAGACAATTAATTAATATTAATAATTCCAAAGCATCTATTAATAAAAGTATTGCTTAGAAATATTAGATTATTTAATAAAGCAACATTGGTCAAAATAAGGATTTTTGAATTAGTTATAATAGATTAAATTAAACTGAAATTCATTATTTCCATTTCTTTAAATAATTATAATGAAAAAAAACTGTTGCTTTCTGATATTATACTTGTTATTTCTATATTTTTTAATACTAAGGATCCTACTGGATTCAAAGTTTCTACTTAAATAAAAGTTATATTATTGAATTACGAATTTAGGATAGTAACATTATCAAACTCAACCAAATCGTTTTCTAGCAATTCTAAACTAAAAATAATTGAATTTTAAAATTAGCAGTTTTTAATTTATAAATCTTTAAAAATAATCTATTTGATTGTTTTAGATCCTGAAATCGTAAAAAATTAATCAACATTTCTTTAACCAAATGAAATAAATTGAAGTCCATTTGCAAATAGTTATTTTATGTTTTTAAATTAAATTTTTAAATAATCAAAATACTATGGTTCTAAAATTTATTAAATGGTAATTTAATTAAAAGATATAATTTAAGGGAATACACTCTCAAAAATAATTTTAATCTATTAATAACAAGGAACACAAGTATCAAAAATGATGTTGATTAGAGTAATTTTGTTGAAATTACTAAATTATAATAATTCTTTTATAGTAATTATGGATCCTTAGGGCATATCTAATATTAATTCAACATTTCTTTATGATATAAATATTAATTTACATGACTGAAAAAATGTTATTGCAAAATTTTTAACTTAAAATACCTGTAATCGTAGTGTGAATTTCACTCACACTAACAATTTTCAGAATAATAGATTTAATTTATTTCATATTGGCCAATGTGTAGAATTCATCATTTTCAAACTAAAATTAATATTGAAATAAATACTTCACTAAATAAAAAATCAAATGAATTAAAGTCTTTGAAATATGTATTTCTTTTTTTAAATTCAATTCTACTCTCTTCATCTTTTAATCTATTGAAATCATCAAAATAGGTAAATTAATCAGAATATAAATTTAACTCAATAATTAACTATTTATAACATCCATGTCTATTTGGAGTTTATTAACATTCTACAAATAATCCTAAATCTTAATCATAATAGTAATTTTAATCCTCATAGCTCTTAATGCATTGACTAGAATATTTTTAATATTTTGTATTGTTGAATAAAGGATTAATTTCTTCAATCTCTTATGGGGTTCTTGGCCGACATAATTAACAATTTTCTGGACATTCAATACATTCATTATTGTTAATAGATTATCTTCTTCCTTTTTAATCATTTTAGCATCTAATACAGTGATATTAATCATCTTTGAATAAGCATTCTACACATGAATCTGAACAAAACTTAATGCATTTATTTTAATATGCTCTATAACCATTTTAGCACTCTAAGCAAATCAACTCATAATCATTTATATTCTAACTTATTGCATTTAGAATATATTAATGAGTATTTGTTACTTCAATATACTTTCTATAAAATGCTCTAACATCTTTTTTCCAATAGTCTTTGGAAATAGAATTTTACTAATAACATTATATGCAATTAAGCTCAATTGGACATTATATACATTAACCGGATAATTATTCTGCATAATATCCATCTTCACATTCTAAACAATGAAAATAATTTTAAATATTTGTTTCTAGACAAACTTTGCAATAATTTACGTATGATCTACAATTTTAGATAAATTCAACAACTTCATTTTCATATTTATCTGACTTTAAACATTAAACTAAATCTAAAATTTAATCACTATTTTTATATTATCCAATACCAATCTCACATTATTCAGTATTAACATATTAAACACATTATTAATTTTCAAAAACATATATATAATTTTATTAACATTTGGCACATAGTAATTTAAATTTACTTTAATCCAATTATGGTGTGAAATTGATATCTAAAGAATTAATAGTATAATCTTTATCTAATGTTTAAAATGCATGCTCACAATGTAGAATATCATTTAATATGCAATTAATACCATCAAGAGAAATTAAGTATCTAAAGTCATCAATACATTTTAAACATTTTAGATAACTATATCCCAAATTTTCATCATAAATATCTTTACAAATTTTACAATCGTTACCACATTTAAAACAAGCTCCATTTTTAATAGTATATTATTCAATGCATTCTAAGCATATTGCTTAATTTTATCCATTATTCTAACATACAGTACAAGTATTCGGGCATTAATTACAATAATACCAAACTAAGTACATGCCTGTTAGACAATCAATACAATGCCCCTAAATATCATATGTTTTACATATTAAATTGCTTCTCAAGCACACTTATTTAACCATATCATATAAATAATTATATTTGCATTTTAAGGTAGGTTAAGATCCAAGATGAAAATGAGATACTTTGTGACAGTAATTGTTTTTATCTAAAGAATATTAACAATAATCCTCATATTCTGAATATTATATTATCTATTTATTATTTCCAATTAGATAAACATCATTTTATGTTGGTATCCTCTATTTAATGACCAAAGATTCATCATCATATTTTTCAAAATTCTATTTATAATCTTCTTTACAAACTGGTTTTAGATACCATATTTTTGGATAGAACAAACAATCAACACAATAAATTGAAGAAGTTCTCTTCAAAGATGGACTAACTTATGTATAAATCATACCATTCTAGACAATCATATCCATTTCCTTTTTAATCAGGTAATTAAAAATATCCAAAAGGACATTAGATATCTATATCAATTTCAACTTCTTCTTGAACTATTGAAAAATAAAATTAATTATTGCATTTAAAATTCCCCTATTCAAGATAACCTGAAAAACACTAGCATATTTTTAACTCATTTTAATAATACCTATTTGAATTAGGATCACAAGATAAACAATTTTATTCTAATGGTCCGAAACAAGTCAAACATGTGTAATGGCAATCTATATTAAATGGTTTATCTTAATTATAATTGTACTACATCTTGAAATTATATATTTGAGCTTTCAAAAAATTATTATTTATATTATTATTTATGTTATCACCACCAAAAAATAGATTAAATTTAGAATTTGTAAATGAACCACTGAAAATATCATTCCCTAAATTGTCTTTTAATAGTCCTAATTCATTTGAAAATTTTATAATCAATAACATTCTTTCATCAAAATTGCTTCTTCCATATTCATACTAAATAAAATGCCATTATTATAATCCTTCATAATAAAGTTAAGTGTTGAGGTCTTAATAATATTTTTTTGTTTGTAATACATTATAGTCAGGATTCTGTTATCCTTAAAAAAATAAATCATATTGGGATTGAAATGATTATTAAACTGGCATACCATATGCATCAGCATTGACAATTATTTATGTTTCTTTTGGAGTATCAGACGAGATAAATACTTCAATTTTTAATAATTCGTCTCCTAGAGTTTTCTCTTATTCATAATTAGAAATTCCCTTTAATTTTAATAATGTGTATTTTTGATCACTCAAATTTGTCAGTATATATTTAACCCATCCTTATATACAGTATTTATTTCCATATTAATCTACTAACATCTATAGAACTTGGTTTCCTTCAAATAACTTTAATCCTTGTACAATTTAAATGGTTTATTCAAGGCTTGTTCTTTAAGGAATTTAGCATTCATTCATTAAATCTTAAGAAATATTTTCTGAATAGTCAATTGAAGGTTTGAATATTAATTTACTTTAAAGTCCTTTAAAATAGTTAAGGTTTAAATTTGAGATCTATATTTTTAAAAATAATTACATATCCTTTTCCTCCAATTATTATTTCTAAATTTAATTGATTTTAAAAACTAAATTATCCTGATTGTGCATCCTATTAATTTACTTTCACAATCATTTTTTTTTTTGAATTCTCAAATACAACTAAGTGAAAAATCCAGATTCCTTCATACTGTAATGAATTGAAATCAAATGTGAATTGAAAATTACCAACCCCATTTTCTAAGAGAAAAATGTGCTACACTTTTTATTATACATAATCAAAAGACTTATAACAAACTATTAAATTGCCATTTGTTTCAGTATTTTTTAATAAAAAAAGAAGTTCTCCTGTTTATGGTTCATTAATTTTAAATTCTTCACCAATATTTAGATTATCAGTTTAAATTAGTAATGGTATATTAAATGTCCAAAATCCAAATGTAAATACACCTCCATTTGATGTATCATCATTCTCTAAAGTTTACATCCATGTTTAGCTACCTGTATTTATTATTGCCTATTAATAAGTATGAAATGGGCAAGCTATAGTATTTTTAATCAAATTAAGGTTAAGTATCAATGTTAAGATAGACCAGAAATAAATTGTGTGATTATTCATGTTTATTTTGTGTCGAATTTAAATCTTAAATAAATGATAATTGAAATCAATACTGAAAAATGGAAAATAATTTCTTATTCTTGAATAAATTATAGTTGTAAACTAATAAGATTCAAGATTTACACTCTTTCATTCTTAAAAAATAAAAGATGAATAAATAACAATTATTTTTCTGAAGAATTCAATTTTGTATTTAAAAAAAAAATTAAGATAATTGTCATTAGATTTAATTATGGATATTGAGAAATCTAAAATCTTTCATTATTATTTTCATCCTGAATCTTCAGTTAATTTTCAATTTAATCCTTTTGGTAAGAGATATTTGATTATAAAAATTAATGGCTACAAATCAGTAACTTAATTTAAACTTAAAAATTAATGAAGAATTTCTCATTAAGTGAAATAGATCTAAATCTTGGAAATTTTATTCGAAATCTTCATATCAATTGATTTAATGAAATTTAAAATGTAATTTAAGATCAGGAACCTATGGATGAACCTTAGAAAAAGTAATTTATTATATTTTTTTAGAATTGTTCCATTTCACTTTTGAATTAGGAGTTTCCTAAATTTTTTATTGTTAATTATATTTTCGATCTATTTCATGATTAATTGTTTAGCATATTTTTAACAACCTCCTTTAGTTTTATCTTTGAGAAGGCAATTGTTCTTTAAATTTTGATTGCAAATATTATCTTGACTTTGTGGTGGATTTATCTAGTTATCAATTTACTATATACAATAAATTATTAATCGTTTGCATATAATAATCAGTTTTAATATATGCTAGTATTTATTAGCACTGTTTGAAACTTAGTGTATTTTTATTTTTTGTTATCTCTTTGTATTGCACAATTTAAATCAAATCATCCTAAACTGAATTTGTCTGAAATACATCCATATATTAATAGTAGATCACATTCCATTTAATCTATGCTAACATATGTATCTCTTTGATCAAATTTTTAAGCATTAGAAAAAGCATCTATTCGTTGTTTTTATTTTTTAATTAATATATATTATATAGTTTAGTTAATACTTTATTTTAAAGATTGAAAAATTAGTTTGCATATTTTCATCTTTCCATTTAATTTTAATCAGCCATAGAATTGTTTAATCTTTCCAATAATAAAGCCAGATTTGCCTAAATTTATAAAAGAAAGGGAAGACATTAATTAAAGCAATTTGGGCTATTCTAATGAGCAAGAAAAAGAAATTTAATGTTGATTTTATCACTAATTTACATATCTTAGCCATTCAGGTTGCTCAAAAACTTGCAGAATATTATAATACTTTCAAGTATCAATGTCTCAAATAATCTATACAATAATGAATTATCAAAGAGGGGATACAACCTTAAATAAAGTGATAGTTTTTAGGAATAAATTTTAAGACATGAATGCTCAGAATTAGGAACTATGGGAAAGAGAAAATAAATCTATAAAATTATTAATATGGTCANTTTTTAATCAAATTAAGGTTAAGTATCAATGTTAAGATAGACCAGAAATAAATTGTGTGATTATTCATGTTTATTTTGTGTCGAATTTAAATCTTAAATAAATGATAATTGAAATCAATACTGAAAAATGGAAAATAATTTCTTATTCTTGAATAAATTATAGTTGTAAACTAATAAGATTCAAGATTTACACTCTTTCATTCTTAAAAAATAAAAGATGAATAAATAACAATTATTTTTCTGAAGAATTCAATTTTGTATTTAAAAAAAAAATTAAGATAATTGTCATTAGATTTAATTATGGATATTGAGAAATCTAAAATCTTTCATTATTATTTTCATCCTGAATCTTCAGTTAATTTTCAATTTAATCCTTTTGGTAAGAGATATTTGATTATAAAAATTAATGGCTACAAATCAGTAACTTAATTTAAACTTAAAAATTAATGAAGAATTTCTCATTAAGTGAAATAGATCTAAATCTTGGAAATTTTATTCGAAATCTTCATATCAATTGATTTAATGAAATTTAAAATGTAATTTAAGATCAGGAACCTATGGATGAACCTTAGAAAAAGTAATTTATTATATTTTTTTAGAATTGTTCCATTTCACTTTTGAATTAGGAGTTTCCTAAATTTTTTATTGTTAATTATATTTTCGATCTATTTCATGATTAATTGTTTAGCATATTTTTAACAACCTCCTTTAGTTTTATCTTTGAGAAGGCAATTGTTCTTTAAATTTTGATTGCAAATATTATCTTGACTTTGTGGTGGATTTATCTAGTTATCAATTTACTATATACAATAAATTATTAATCGTTTGCATATAATAATCAGTTTTAATATATGCTAGTATTTATTAGCACTGTTTGAAACTTAGTGTATTTTTATTTTTTGTTATCTCTTTGTATTGCACAATTTAAATCAAATCATCCTAAACTGAATTTGTCTGAAATACATCCATATATTAATAGTAGATCACATTCCATTTAATCTATGCTAACATATGTATCTCTTTGATCAAATTTTTAAGCATTAGAAAAAGCATCTATTCGTTGTTTTTATTTTTTAATTAATATATATTATATAGTTTAGTTAATACTTTATTTTAAAGATTGAAAAATTAGTTTGCATATTTTCATCTTTCCATTTAATTTTAATCAGCCATAGAATTGTTTAATCTTTCCAATAATAAAGCCAGATTTGCCTAAATTTATAAAAGAAAGGGAAGACATTAATTAAAGCAATTTGGGCTATTCTAATGAGCAAGAAAAAGAAATTTAATGTTGATTTTATCACTAATTTACATATCTTAGCCATTCAGGTTGCTCAAAAACTTGCAGAATATTATAATACTTTCAAGTATCAATGTCTCAAATAATCTATACAATAATGAATTATCAAAGAGGGGATACAACCTTAAATAAAGTGATAGTTTTTAGGAATAAATTTTAAGACATGAATGCTCAGAATTAGGAACTATGGGAAAGAGAAAATAAATCTATAAAATTATTAATATGGTCAATTTTATACTTAAAGATAGGACATTTAATAAACACTACTATATTCCTCTATTTTAAGAATGCTTGACAGAACAAAATCAACTGATTTTGGTTGAAATATGTAAATTGAATCGCACATCTAGAAAGATTCAAAAGTGATTATTGAAGGCCAAGAAATTTTTTTTTTNTAATTTAAACTTAAAAATTAATGAAGAATTTCTCATTAAGTGAAATAGATCTAAATCTTGGAAATTTTATTCGAAATCTTCATATCAATTGATTTAATGAAATTTAAAATGTAATTTAAGATCAGGAACCTATGGATGAACCTTAGAAAAAGTAATTTATTATATTTTTTTAGAATTGTTCCATTTCACTTTTGAATTAGGAGTTTCCTAAATTTTTTATTGTTAATTATATTTTCGATCTATTTCATGATTAATTGTTTAGCATATTTTTAACAACCTCCTTTAGTTTTATCTTTGAGAAGGCAATTGTTCTTTAAATTTTGATTGCAAATATTATCTTGACTTTGTGGTGGATTTATCTAGTTATCAATTTACTATATACAATAAATTATTAATCGTTTGCATATAATAATCAGTTTTAATATATGCTAGTATTTATTAGCACTGTTTGAAACTTAGTGTATTTTTATTTTTTGTTATCTCTTTGTATTGCACAATTTAAATCAAATCATCCTAAACTGAATTTGTCTGAAATACATCCATATATTAATAGTAGATCACATTCCATTTAATCTATGCTAACATATGTATCTCTTTGATCAAATTTTTAAGCATTAGAAAAAGCATCTATTCGTTGTTTTTATTTTTTAATTAATATATATTATATAGTTTAGTTAATACTTTATTTTAAAGATTGAAAAATTAGTTTGCATATTTTCATCTTTCCATTTAATTTTAATCAGCCATAGAATTGTTTAATCTTTCCAATAATAAAGCCAGATTTGCCTAAATTTATAAAAGAAAGGGAAGACATTAATTAAAGCAATTTGGGCTATTCTAATGAGCAAGAAAAAGAAATTTAATGTTGATTTTATCACTAATTTACATATCTTAGCCATTCAGGTTGCTCAAAAACTTGCAGAATATTATAATACTTTCAAGTATCAATGTCTCAAATAATCTATACAATAATGAATTATCAAAGAGGGGATACAACCTTAAATAAAGTGATAGTTTTTAGGAATAAATTTTAAGACATGAATGCTCAGAATTAGGAACTATGGGAAAGAGAAAATAAATCTATAAAATTATTAATATGGTCAATTTTATACTTAAAGATAGGACATTTAATAAACACTACTATATTCCTCTATTTTAAGAATGCTTGACAGAACAAAATCAACTGATTTTGGTTGAAATATGTAAATTGAATCGCACATCTAGAAAGATTCAAAAGTGATTATTGAAGGCCAAGAAATTTTTTTTTTGAGCTAGAAGAGTCTTTAGGATAAATAATAAATCTTTAATTGGTAAAAGCTATATTAGCTAATATTTAAAAATTTTGACTAAATGATATTCCCTTTATAAAGAAAATTTGGGTTAAAAATGCCATATAGACAATCTATAATTTCAAACCTTATAACTAATCTGTGGTATTAGATAATAATAAAAGAATAGTTGATTTTTTTAGATGCAGGTGATTCAAAATAATTTGAAAATAATGATAGCATTATTGTTTAATTAAAGTAAAACTTTCATTTCTCACCTAGAAGAATCAGGTAATTTTATTTCTAAATTGTCTTTTTTTTTTTAATTTTAAGAAAAGCTTTTAGTTCTAAAAAGAACATGAAGATGTTGTACAAGTAGTAACTTTTGACCAAGATATATTGTCATCAATAAGTTAAATACTCTAATACAACAGAGTACTATAAGGAAGAATTTTAATTCCAAATTTATTCCATATAAATTTAAGTTACTATCATTAAATAAAGTAAGAAATACTAATGATAAATTTGAAATCTGATATTCTGATATTGTTATGCTAACGACTTTGCAGGTTAGTCGTAAAAAATGACTGAAATTATTAGTGAAAACTGGAATTGATGTCATCAATTAAATATTTATCATTTTTTAATAATAATTATTATTTTGATATTAAGTTAATATTAATAATGAAACTAAATTTTGATACAAATGTAATTAGCTGATTTACTTTAGTATTTAATTAATTATTGATTTATAAATATGATTTATTTTACTAATTAACTATAGTCATCTGTTTATTTAATTTTAGAGATAAAGGTTCTTAATTATCGAAGTTAATTTTGATTAGAAAACACAAATTTAAGTTCTTTTTGCGAATAAGAAATTAAAAAAAAAAATTCCATTTTTGTATAAAATTGATTATAATATCATTTTCTTGATTTATAGATTCATATATTAATATTCTAACTGTGGATCTATAAATATTTAATTAATAACTTTACCTAACATTCAAAGCTAAACAATTCTTCATCAACATTTTCACTCAATTATTTATAAGAAAGGAACAATCCTTCTTTTTATAGTGTATATCTCTATTTATAATATTCAATTTCTAAAAGATCCCATTCTTATTCTAATATTTATGATTATTTTTATTAGGATTATTACATTTGCTATCTTTCCTTTTATTTAATAGAAAAGTACTTAAGTTCTAGATTGGAATGATGGTAACTAAGAATTTAACTATTAATTCTCTCTTTACATTATTATTGAATCCTATCAACAGACAAGATAATTATTAAAATATTTTTAAATTTTTTGATTACTGTATTGACTTGTTACTCTATCAATAAAGATAGTGAGTTACAATCGTTAGCCTAGTTGCAACTACAAATTTTTTTAATGTTACCAGATTCTTCTTTACCAAATATTTTTACTTAACAAAAATTAATTAAAATTTTTAAGTTTTCTTTTTTCCTTCTTATTTCTTTTGTAATTTATGGGGTAATGAATTCTCTTAAGAATGTATAATCAGATAGAAATAATTACATATTCAATTTTCCACACTAAATAATGCTATTTAGCATTAATTCTTCTTTTAGGGCATCAATTAAATCAGATTGAGATATCTTGAAACCTTAAAGAGATCCAATCCCCCAGTAGATACTCAAGACCGTATTTAAATTGAATTACTATGTGTTTAGTTATTAAAATTCAGAAGTAAATTTCTTTACCAATAATGTATAAAATTATGATCTATTCTCTAATAATAGATCTTCTTATGTTATAAAAGTTTGTTAGTGCTTCTAAAATTTATTCTGAACTTAGAACTATTTTTCTTATTTAATGTTTATAAGAAGATTAGCAAATTGTTATTTGTAGAAGATTAAATCAAGATATAATCTATTTGAGTGCAATATTTAACTTGATGTTTAGGAGTTTGAATTTTAATTAATCTCTTATTCGCTACTCTAAGAATTCTATTTGGGCTCTTCTTGTTTTTCATTACTTAAGAAAAATGTATTTGTAATTTTTATTTGATCAACTTTTTCTTTGAAATTACTACAATTTCCAACACAATATCTTTCTTTTAATAATAAAATAGAAACAAATCCTGTAGGTTCTTATTCTTCATAACAAACTAACAATTCTTATTCTTTTATTTCCTCCTATTCAATTTATTAATATAAATTCTTGTTTTGAAGGTTTTCTTTTGGAACTGATTAAGAATCTAGAAGATTCTCTTTTTATTTAGGAGCTTGTAAGTTTTCTAAAAAATTTTCTTGGTAACTGTCCTCTTGGTAATTAAAATCAGTTTGAAAATTTTATTAAAATTGTTTTTATGTTTACTATTATTAAATTTATTACCCTTAAGGTGTTCTTATCCAAATCTTTTGGTATTTTTCTACTTCTTATTCGATTTGAGGATCCAATAAGTATTACGAAATGATTATAAATTAAAATTTTTGATCTACATTCAAACCAAAAGTTGATTTAAATTTTTTACAAATAAACTCAACTGGGATGTATTAAAACATACTCACACATCTACTGCAAACTCTGTTTTCAGTGGTTATTTCCAAGTATATTTTTGTAAGGTTATCAATTATACCCATTTTTCCTTAATTGATCAAATCTTAATTTAAAGTCTTAAAGATTGATTTGTTGAGTTCAATGTCTGCTAAAAGAAATAATATCAAAGTTCTTTCGCTATGGGGTTCAGTGAGATGTTAGTTAAACGATTTAATTGATTCATATTATGATAATTATTTACCAAACTCTGTCTAAAACTAAACATAATCGTAAAATTGTTAATCTTCAAATTTCCCTATTGGTTGTTTAAAATCAACCAAAATTCCATCTTTTTATTTGAAAACAAATCTGATATTTCCCAAGGCTATGTTATTTTTTCGATATATATAATCTTCTTTCAAAGATTATTCTATTTTATCATTTTAAAGATTTGATAATTAAAAGTATTTAAGGAAATCATCTAAAAGAACTTCATAATCTAGATTTAGTTTGTGAATAAAGGAGTCCAGATAACTAAAAATTATAAATTCATTATTATAGTTTATTTCAAATTCACCATAAAATTAAACTTACGATAGGCATTAATATTAAAGCTTCTCCTTTAGGTATTTACTTTGCTATTTCTTTAACCATAAGATATAATTATCTCTACTGTAGATATCCATATATTAATTCAAAATCTTGCGAAAGTCACTTCTATACAAAATTAAAGAATAAATGTAGTAGCATAAATAAGGTGGGATTGATAAAGGAGCAGAACGCTGAAACCCAAAAATTGAAAGCCAATAATATAAGGCTTCCAATTAAAGAACATCCAACTAAAAATTATAATTATATTTTCTGAAATCCACTTCATCTTTTCTAATTGCATAAATATCATTCAGATCATATTTTTTATTGGTTTGAATTGGCTGCTTAGAAGATTATTCAGATGCGCTTTAACTATAGAAACTATCTTTCTTTTATTCTTTTAATAATTCATTTGGGCAGTCTTGTGAATAATATGCCTCATTTTAATCATATGCAGAAAAAGAATTTGAATAACGTGTTCTTCTGTTTAAATGATCTTTCATATAATTAATATTTTTGGATTTAAGTTTTTGAGAATAACTAAAGTCAAATGATCTCCTTCGTTTTACTCTAGTAACAATTCTTCTTTCAATTTTAGAACTTTCAAATTATCTGTTGAGTTCGCTATGCATAAATTTTATCAGGATATTGAATTAATTCAATAATTTTTTAATTACATCTGTTATTAACAAATAACTTTAGTAGCAGTAAGAGAACTAAAACATAAATTATTTAAAATTAGAAAAATCTTTGCCACTTAAAGCTAAGCTTCAATCAGATAATGAATTGAGTTTGCCTTTTAAATTCTGCCATTACTTTTTTGACATCCTAATTTTTGTAGCCTTTTGTAAGAAAGAAATATTTTCATTAATTAAGGAGTTGATCAATTGTAATATCAACAACACCAACTAAATGTTGTTGTGAATAACACCCCTCATCTAAATAGGCTAATGTTAATTTATTCTAGCAAGTGTTCCATGTATAAATAATCTCGATTATTTCACATAAAAACATTAAATCTCTCAATCTTAAATCAATGCTCAAGTAATCAGATAGAATCTGGAAGGTTTTTAATTGAAGATATTTCTATCTATTTAACTTATATTACTATCAGTTAATTATTGATTTAGTCAATAGTCATCTAATTACTTAATTTAGCAGTAAATGTATTCGTTAAAATTCTTTTTATGGAGATAAAAAATTTAATATTTGATTAAAATGAATCTACATTTTTGTAATTATATATATGCATTGTAATAACCAATTATTGGAAAATAATTTGTTTTAGTTTTTATAGCACAAGTTATTTAGCACACCCAAGCTAAATTGATTAAAAGCAGCAGACGCTGAGTTGTATCAATAAATAACAAAATAATTGGAATACTCAAAAAAAAGATTAAGAGCTAATGAATTTCAGCTTATGGTCTATTTCTAACGGAAAATAAAATTAAAATATTGAAAGTATAAGGAATCATAATTATAGAATTCGAATAATAAGACTAAAAGAGCCAATAACAAAAGAGATACAAAAGGTTCTAAAAATTCAATTTCAATTTAAGTTCTAAAGGTTTTTTAAAGAAATAAAAAATTTTAAGATATGATGGATGACTTATGATCTAACAAATATCAAAACTTGAATTTGAATACTAAATTACTTCTCAAGAAATGGAAATTTAGATTATTTTATGGAGAAAATTTGCTAATTATATAGATGATACATTATCTTTTGAATTAATTAGAGAAATTATTCTCTTATTGTAAAAAAAAAATCACTTAATTAAGATTTATATAACAAGGAAAGAGCACATCTAACTGATAGTTCTTTGTATGCAAATACATAGGTTCCTTATTTCATTCTTAGAGATAAATTAATCAAATTGTTTGTTTTAATTCATTCAATATTCTAATTTTAAATATTTTGAGATTTCGAAAAATAATGAGAAAATCTTGGTAAATGAAAGTCTAGCTACTTAAGATATGAGTCTGGAATTTATTCATAAGATTCTAATTTATTCAGACGGAGAAGCAGAAATCCATTTTTTAAATTATCTTAATTTTTTTAATTATTATTTTTTCTTAAATCAGAAATAACTTTCTTCATTAAAAATTGGATATGGTTATGAAATCATTAAATAAATTCAGTATATATTTTGAGTTTAATGGATTTATAATTCGAGATTAATGATATTCATAAATTTATTTCTACCCAACAAAAAATCATTCCACAAATTATACAAATGTTTATCACTTTTCTATTTTTTGAGTAATTTTTCATCTGATTAAATATTGTAGGTACGTTTTTTAATATCGAAAAATACCTCTAAGTTAAAAGAGACATTGAAGTATTAGAGATATAATTATTTGACCAAAAAGTAGGATATCATGAATATTGTGCAAAAGTTTATATATTAGAAAGACTTAGATTATGTTGTTCATAATATTAAGTAATTTAATGTATTATTGAAGTTTAATCAATATTTGTATTTTTGTTCTTGATAGGTTGATGAAATGGAGTACCATTTCATCAAGCTATTAAAATCAGAATATGATAACGATATTACGAAACAAATCCTAATATATTAAAGATCCTCTAACAAAATATATATTATAGATTAATTCAAGTTTTTTGTGAATAAATTATTTTTATACCCACGATGAATCTACTGTTTGAATTATTATGGAAGTGATTAATAGGTTAAGAATGATTTTATAAAAATAATATAATAAATTTAAGCCAAAAATAAATATATAAAAAAAATAAAAATCAAATTATATTATATTTCTTATGGATAATCATTTTCTTTTTATGGGGTACTTTTCTTTGCTACTTTGTTTTTCTAATTATTCTTCTAAAGCTACCTATTTCAACTATCCTAACCCTTACAAATGAGGAATTAAGTTTTTCATTTCGATATTGTTTTACTTAATTCTGAAAAATCTGTAAAACGATGATTAAGTGTTTTTAAAAAATGAACTAAAATTTTTAATAAAATTAGGTATGATTCTATATATTAGCACAATTATCACAGCTATAATTGTTATAATTAACGAATTATTCATTATTGAATACCCTTTACTTTTTTAATCAGCTTTCGTTTATTGTAATCTATTGATTTCATTAAGATATTCTTTATAATTAAAATGTGTGATTTATCCATCATTATTAACAAAATATAAAGAAAAATTTTTTTGTTTAGAGTTTCGTCTTACTTAAATAGACTTAATACTATCTACTGTTGATTGTTAACTTTTAGGGTGAAGCTTCAAAACATCTA